GCGTTGGATGTTGAACACCTGTGGGGAAACCAGGCGTGTGTTTGATAAAGAGACAGCAGGCACATGTACAGACTGTGCAATGGTTGACTGAGCAGGAATGGCTCGAGGAAGTGTGAAACTAACTGTGGCCAAAGTCATCCCACTCATAGCAGGTAATACACCTAGTGAGACAAACCTGTTATTAATACACAGTAAAAGTTTATAATTCAAAAATTAACCATATCTCTAACTCGAAAAAACTGTGCTTGCAGAATGTCAGCCAATGGCTATTCTTCTTTTACACTATATACCACATGGATTTGGTCATCCTGACTTTCTGCAACCTCCTGTCCTATGTAGTGGCAATCATTTTGAAAAGATTTTCTTCAGTGATCTACTGGCAACACTTCTGATCTCCCCCCTCACAACTTTCATGTTGTTGTTATAACATGCGCTATACCCCCCTCATGCGTCTTTTCAAAATAGGTAATCAACTGTGTGTGTTTGAGTTAACTACATTCACATCATTACAATTTTTATCTGTCTATAGTGGTATCATCCCCCCCCCCCCCCCCCCCCCACCCCAAAAAAAAAATTCCACATCTTTGTTTCCCCACATAATTACTCATGAATCTTTCCACACATCAGAATAAGCTTTATATAGCTCTTTAGAACAAACGTTTTTATAATTACAGAACCATAAAAAATGTTAACACCACCACATTTTAATTCTCTATTAAGTCTTATGTATATACTATAATGTATAACTCTGTTAAAAACCATAATGATTATCACTCATTATGTCTACTCCTGCGCCTGGCTTCAGAGGATTAAGCCATTTTTAAATATCATACATCTTCATCATGTGCACAAGCGGTCATAGTACAAGTTGCCTTAACACAAAATCTTGTATAGTTAGTTCTTAAAGCAAATGTGATTTGCACCACACATAGTGAATTATAAAATAATTATTACCTGTGAAAAAAAATTGCAAAACAAAAATGTGCCTAATATGTTAGCTATAAAAAACAGGGAATGTATTAACTCTTGATGTCACATATAGAGACAACCTAGCAAACAAAGAACAACCACACAATGGGTCATACCTATTGACTGTTGCCCAGTTGGACTACTAAGTGCCTGAATGTGCCCAGCTGTAAGTACAGTAGGGGCCACAGTGACATTCTGTTTATTCACACCAGTTTGATCAGCAGTATCACTTTTCTGCATCTTTATTGTTTAACTGCAATAGGAAATTACAACATGTTTTCCCAATACAAACTACCAAATTAAATAATAAAATAAAGTCTTTAGTAGTCAAAATATGAAGCAACACGACATAACAATTATCACTGTTGGACCATCTTATAGGCATTTACAGTGCCTTGCATGTTCTCATCTTGAAGGCAAGAATTACAGGAACACAGCATCTGGATCACCTGATATGTTTTTGCTGTCTCTATTTACAGCTTCCACAATCACTCGGTCTCATCTGTTTCCACACTCATAACCATTATCCTTCATGTATGCACAATATCATTCAGCATTCTCTTTGGTAGAGATTTTGGTTATAAATCCATCCATAATGATATACCATATTGTGTTAAAATTATAATCTCTTCCCCCTTTGTCTCCCCTCCTTGCCTTATGTAAACTTGATCTTTGATGTAAATGCTGATAGGATTTCAGCTACTCTCCTCGTGGTTGATGTGGGCCTATGTTTAGCAATCTCTGTCATGGTTCATTCTTCTGTGAAAATCAGTGGTCCAGGTAAGTACCACAATTTTTTTTTCATTTTGCAGCTTGTTTAATATATTTACAAATGCAATTGTTAACTCAGCATCCTCAGCATCATTTCCCTTGTTTTTTTTTTCTGCAGTGATGTTTCTTGTTTACTAATGATGGCGTATCACATTCTTTTTTGCACATACTTATGTTCCAGAAGCTTTCATTTATCGGTGTAAGCTTGATCATATTTATTAGCATAAGCTGTCTGCCATTACCGTTAATGGCTGATCCAATCTGATCCAATCTCGAAATTTCTGATTCGATCAACTGTTTACATTGTTGAATAAAATACTTGATGATCCGAATTTAAAATCGCTTCATTCCAAGAAATTTACAGTCAGCTGCTCAACGTAAAAAATCTCAAAGCCTACAACTGGGAAATACTTGAAAACAAATAAAAGTCTACCAGAATATTGTAAACATTACAGAAAATTTGGACTGTGACCCAGTTAATCAGCATATTATGACAGTGAATAATTATGTACCATCATGTTGTTCTCACAGCTTTGGAAGTAATTCTTTTCTTGCAGAAAAAAAAACGTAATAAAAAGTGGAATTCAGAGCAGTTGATTTTTCTGAAATTGATAAATTCATCAAAACATTTTGTTATCCAGTACATAATAATACTAGTCTTATTTTAAAAACTGACAGCAAGAAAGCTACAGGATTAGCTGTGCATGCTAGCAAAAATTGTATTCTCTCCCCCTCTACTTCCTGTCTTCACCACTGTCGTATGTTTAGTCATTGTCCCTAACTGCATCTGAGTCTCTTATCATCATTCAAATTTTAAATGAACGTAGCTACTGCCCCCAGCGCCACTAGGGGGCAGCAGTGCTAACTGGAAGCCATTTCTACTCAACATGGCCACTTCTGAAATACTTCAGGTAAGTGATTTCTTTTTTTAATTTGATAGGGACTTGTAGCCGCAATGTTCACTTTTTGTTTGTGTGCTCACCTATGTACTTGTTGTTTGGTTTGACATCTTTTCAAGCTATAACTATAACTATGAGAGGAATTCATCTAGGAGGCTCCTACCACCCACAGACATGACTCAAGGTTACAATTCAGACTGCTGAAAGTGCCCCTGTCCCCTATTTCTGAGTTCTGGGATAACAGCTTTGCCTCCAATTGTCTGTAAGTGGTTTGAATCTGTCACATGCATCACATTGTTATACAAGAGGGGAGGTACTGTTCCTGTCATAAACTCAAAGTGGGTCGCTACCTGGAAAAAAAGGCAGGAGACCACCGATTTAGTGATCTATTTGGGTCTATTAATATTTTAATACCTCATATGCAAGTTCTTGTTTATTATATAGTTTAATTGGCTATCCTCTGAATAAGGGTCCCAAATTATCGAAGAAAATACCTTAAAAGGGCCTTAATGTTTTGAGGAAACTGCGCTGAATATTCAATAAACAATGCACAACGAGTGCAGCCGTGGTAACATCATGCCAGTTCCATCCATAACCCTTCAATCGATAGTGTCGTGGCTCCACTATTGTGACAGATTCTGGTGGCAGTGTCATAACTGCAATACTCTGTAATCCCTAACCCTAGGGCCCAGGGGAGAAGTTAAACCTAGTGTCAGAGCTGTGGACACCCTTGATAAGTTGGGACCGTTATTCAGAGAAGTGTTTCCCGCGGTGTGCTGTATATTCACCGGAAAGAAGTCTGCAATTTACAAATGATTGAGGCCTGTTAAGGTATTTTCTTAGCCTCGATAATTATAATTTGGGACCGTTACTCTGAGAACAGCAGTTAGTATATTTACACTGTATTATTATCTATTGGGAAACTAAATTATAAAGTTATAAACAAAAACCTACTCTACATTACTGGAGATAGAATAGAATGATTGTTTTTTTTTCAACTACAGCAATTAAGCTTCAAAGGGGAAAAGATTATACTTCTTCTTCACTTCCTCTTTTACCGCTGTGGGTGTTGAGGGAGATATAAGGTTCTGTTTCTAGCTCTTCTGGCCGCCTCAACCATAGGAACATCGTGCTGTTGTAGAGTTTCTCTGATGTTATCCTTCCATCTTGTTCTACCTCGTGCTCCAAGTCCTTCTTCTCTTTCCATGTATGCTTTGTATGGTATGGTGTCACAAGGCATTCTCTCTAAGTGGGCAAACCATTTCACTTGCTGTCTTCGTATGTAATGAAATACAGAATTGGTTCTGTGCCGACTTTTTCTCTTATGATCTCATTCCTGTGATCTTATCTCTTATGGTCACTCCTACAGCCCTTCTCAGACATCTCATTTCCGTGGTTACTAATTTTCTTTTATGGTTTGTTGTGAGTGACCATGTCTGGCACTGGTAGCACAGAGTTTGAATAAATAGGGTTTGAATAAGATCTCTTTGTGCTGATTGGGATCGTCTTATGCTGTAAAGATTATACAGTGTATACATAATCAAATCCTTTACTTAAAAAGTCTTATGGGGGTCCAATCTTGATAACAGTATTAAGACAAAGGGCCCTTCTGATTTCCCGACGATTGGGGTGGGGGGGGGGAAGGGGTGAACTTTTGTTTGGTATATGACTATATCATATAATATATGATATTTGAATATGGTGCTAACCACGTATTTTAGATCACATAATCATAATCGGCATTGGATGAGCGATAGATCAGTTTGAGTGTCACGTTGTCCGCCTTATGGTTTTGCTATCTAGAAGATTGCACTGCAAACAATTTTAGTCAGTCGTCCAGCAAGCATATGGTTTTTAAAAAAAAAATCTCTGTGCCTAGGCAGGTTGGAACCCACAACCACAGTGCAGGAGGTAAGCGACGATAGTACAGGCGTTCCTGATTATTTTCTAACGCGCACCTCGGTTGCGCATTAAAACGACATTTTCGACAGTCGCCATTTTGATTCATTTATATTTTGCAACTTACCAAATTATTTTACAAATTTCTCTCACAGTTGTCCACCATTATGGCCAAAAAGTCCAATTCCAACCGAGCCGGATGTTTAGCTAAACATTTTGACCCAAAATGCACGTTAGGTAAAGTGAAAAAACATATAAATCTGTAAAAACTAGTGTGCAGTTTAGCGTTGTAGGATCTCCCACTATTCACACTCACTTGATACATTGCGCATGCGTCAGAATTTCCTCGCGCTGAGCCCATAAATTGTCGCGGTTTGATTGGTCAAGAAGTTCGGGTATTTTCCTATTTTTCACACCGGAAGTAGCATGGTTGAACAGTGTAATTCTGTCTAATAACTTAACATGGACGGCGAAAAAAGTACTGTTATTGTTAAGAAAATTAAGAAAAATACAAAGCAGATACTTCAGGATCCAAGAAATGCCAACTTGCTTTTGGATTTATTAAATTATAGCCAGGTAAATTACATAATATTAAATATAGTTGTATCAGAACATACATGAGGTCTTAACTCTTTCAGGCCCATGAATTTTGACAGACTTGGCCCACATTAATTTCCCTTTACAAAAATGGCAGAGGGGTGGGTGTACAAGAAAGGCTGTAGAGACTGTAATATACTTCTAATCCCTATAACAGTATATATTTTTTAAACGAGAAATGAGTGTACATTCTGAATCTGATGATAAGTGTTTTTTTAATTTTGTTATAGTTAGTGGAAAAGAAGAATTCAGCAGGTGTTAATTTCACAAGGACAACATTTCACAAAAAAATTCTTCACTTACCATGGTTTTGCAGCCACAAGAATAGTAAATATCCAAATTTGAGAACAAAACTTCAAAGTTTGTTCCATTTTCTAACATATTCTAAAGTTATGATAACTTTCTGGGTTAGTTTATCACTTAGGAGCTCTTAGTTCCCACCGAGTGCTAAGCAAAATTTCAGAGAAAAAATGGCAGAAAAATGAGCCATAACACACACACTATTTACTATTCACTTTGTACAGTTATTTACAGACTGTAGCTGCGATGACTTCAATATAGCTTAGCCATAGTATAGTACTATCTCTTTGTTTAGAGCACTTTCCTTCTCTTACACCATAAATACGGTAGTATGGGACATTGTCTGTGTAATAAACTCGTCAGAATCTCTAGATTCCGAACAGCTGATCGCTCAGCTTCACTGGTGAAAATTCACTGTCTGAATCACTTTCCGAAAAATCTAAATTTTTATTATCATTTTCACAATTAAAAACATCTGACTGAAACAATTTCAGAGCTTCGGCCGCAGAAAGACGCATTCTGCGACCTGATCTTGTGGTTAGAACATTGGTATTCAGTGCACTCAAAAACGAACTTAGAAAAAAAACTGTTAAAAAAAATTTGATGTTTTTCTCTCTCAAATTATCCACGTGTGGTTTAGTCCAAGAAGTGAAACCTAAAGGAGTGACAGAGTGACTTTCCCTGAATAGGTTATTCGTACCTCCAAACATTAGAAACTTGTACGAACGCGCATGCGAAGCAAAATGTAAGAGATACACGATTAACGATGACACTGTTGTTTGGGCAGAACGGAACTTCTCAAACTACGCTCACACCGTTGTTTGGGCCTTAAAGAGTTAAGTCTTCTGTACAGTCAGTGGTGTAGCACACAGGATGATGATAAATAAATTCGCCCTACCATTTAAAAAAATTAAGACAAGTTGATCACTTTCACTTCGATCTCTTCACCCTCGGTTTTATAATCACATTATTTGTTACATCAACTGTTCCAGCCACAAACTGTTATCTAACTGAACAATTAAATCGAATAACGGCTACATATTATGGCGGCCAAAAACACACCCTGACAGGGCCTCAGTGACATGTAAATTGCGAACTTCCGGCGACTATACCGTCACCTCCGAGAGTATCTCAGGGTAAATTAGATGGCTGGGACTCACAAACAACAGTTTCCTCATCTCCTGCAGCTTTGCTCGTGAGTCCCAGCAATCTAGCTTAGCTTAGCGCGGGAGATACTCTCGGGGTGGCGGTATAGTCCAGGAAATCCTAAATCTACATGTCACTGAGGCCCTGTTTTTGGCGGCCGTTATTCGAATGATAGCCAAATTTAAATACCTAATATTGTCATTCTGATATGATATAATTATTATTATTTAATTCAAGAACCGACATCACATCACTTGGGAGCATTCCCATAAGCGCTTACTGAGTTACTTTCCATCTTCAGTAGCCAGCGGAAAGTTCCGATATTAATGGTGCCGGTAGCATGTTGATTAAACGTCCGTCTTGCCTTTCCTCTGAGCCTAGAGCATCTGCCAGAACCTATCATCAATCCCCCCTGCATCAATCTCACCAGCCTGTGGTCACGGTGATCCATCTACTTCTCCGAACTGTACACACTCTCCCACAAGGCACTAACCACGTCTGCCTTATCATGCATCAGTATTCCACCAAGTTGTGCAGAGCCAGCCAATCTGTCCGCCTGTTTATTTCCTAAAACACCATCATTAGCCGGTGAAAAAATCAAGACAATACTCCTCGCCCGTGTACTCTGCAGCAAGGCATGCCACTCTGCACAAAGCATGCCTGTCCTGATCTTGCACAGCATGCTTTCTGAGTCAGTTACATTCATGATGTGTGTGTCGTGTTCTCTAACCAGCGAAAAGCTGCAGTGACCACCTCCATTCTTAAGCTGGATGTTGTGGTATCATATGCTAGGCTCTCCTGCACCAAACGACGTCGACCATTAACTTCAACTTTTGCTAAAAAACCCAAGCACTTCTTTTGACACTTGACCGTCCATGTAAATAATCAAATCTTCTAAGCGAGCATTATCTTGAATTAATTTCCACTTCTGTGGCACCTGCTGGCCAGTCTCTTCATTTCTGGCTCAGTGTGATTATGACCCAAAACGTCTGACTGTTCAGGTGGCACTTTGATCCACTCCTTTCCTTGCCTAATGTTCTCAAGGATGCAGACCTGTCTCAATGCGTGTCTTCTGCCTGAGCCATCCATGACTTCCCTCTTATCTTTTATTATTATGATATAATGAAATCATGTAATTGTAATAATATGTAAAATATAAATTTTAACTCGGCTGTCCATCATTCCCCATCTTACAGTACACTACTACTGTACACTATCCTCCCTTTCATTTGCTTGCCATCTGTGACCGTTATATTATCAAGTTCCATCTTATATTTATTGGTTTTCTCTTGCTCTTTCTCCACCACAAATATTACACTTACATTCATCATCATCATCAGGTGCCTTGCCGCTGACTGGCGTGGGCGATCATGCCTTTCCATAATTCACGATCTCCTGCAGCATGTATCAGTTTGTGTGCAGACACACCTCCATGCCATGCAACAAGACTGTCGAGAATCTTCTCTCGTTGTCTTCCTCTATCCCTCTTTCTACAGATCTTTTATTTTTTTTATACAGTACACAAATCATCTCCAAATAGAAATGTTCACACTACGATAGATCTATCATCTACAAGTATTCAATGTAAGTGAGGAGAATATCATATGTGCCCTGTAATTCATTTAAATTATCTAGAACTGGTCATTAATAATAAATATTTGAATATCCTCCGAATAAGTCTCAAATTATTGAGGCCAAAAATATACCCTAACAGGGCCTCAGTCGTGTAAATTACGGACCTCTTTCCGGCAACTATACCGTTGCTGCCGAGAGTATCTCCTTCGGCGCAGGGCTAAACTAGATGGCTGGGACTTATGAGCAAATAAAATGAAGAAAGCTGCACGAGATGCAGTAGCTGCTGCTCGTGAAACCCAGCCATCTAGTTTCGGCAGATACTCTCGGAGGTGACTTTAACTCGCCAGAAGCTTTTCCGCAGTGTGCTGTGTAGTCGCTGGAAAGAGGTCCGCAATATCCATGTGACTGAGGCCCTGTTAGTGTATATTTTCGGCTTCGATAATTTGTGACCAATTTTCGGAGGATAGCCAAATATTTAAATGGAAGCCATAAGAGGCCTTAGTAGAGAAGTGAACCTAGAATTAGTGGTCAAAATTCATCCACTTTGTTCAGGAGGAATAGTTGGCTCAGCTCTTGTTGGATGACACTGACTATACTAATTACTATTGCTATTCTCTGCACACGTACATTGTCAGTCCGTGTTCTTAAGACTAAGTGGTCTTAGCTAAAGTGCTAGTGATAGTAACTAGTGTGCTATTGCATTTCAAAGATACCTAAGCCATTTGATCTGTTTCTATGTGTTTGACTCAAAAGTATTGTTCCTACATAGTCAGTCCGTATTCTTAAAACTAAGTGCTAGTGATAGTAATTAGTGTGCTGTTGCATTTTAAAGATACCTTAGCCATTTGATCTATTTCTATGTGTTTGACTTGAAAGTATCATTCCAACATTGTCAGTCCGTATTCTTAAGACTAAGTGCTCTTAGCTAAAGTGCTAGTGATAGTAACTAGTGTGCTATATTGCATTTCAAAGATACCTAAACCATTGATCTATTTCTACATGTTTGACTCAAAAGTATGGTTCCTACAACCTGTCTAATAGAATGTAAATAGAGAATCAGAATTACTATGGGAATGACAATTTTTAGAGAAATTTTGATTTACAGGCATGTTATGAGAGTTCAGCTTTACTTGTATACACAGACATAATAATAATTTAAATTGAAATAATGAAATGAACATCAAGTTTCCTTTCCTCAGAGCAAGAATGCTGATGTTGTTTGTGCAAGCTGTCGGTCACTGGTGGCAGTCTTTAGTCATTTCATCTCTGCCGACTGCTTCATTAATATTGGACAACACACAGTTGCTGAAGCTGGTGAGGGTGTCTCTTTTCTTTGCAGTTTAACAATTTTGAACTTTGTGGTTTTTATTTACACTATGCTCACGGTTTCCCCTCGGAATGTCAGGGAACAAATTAAGAAGAATTTAGAAGCAACAGAGATGTGGTTTCTGAGACCAATGTTATGTTACGAATACCTTGGGCGGCCAGAGTAACAAACGATTGCATGAAAGTAGATCTCTGTATACAATAAGAAAGAGACAAACACTGTTCTTTGGCCACATAATGAGAAGGGAGATGTTGGAGAACATCGTGACAACTGGAAAGATCAATGGAGAGAGGAATAGAGGCAGACCAAGAGAGATGATGCTGGATGGGCTAAAGCGATGGCATGGAGGGATATCATCAAGAGAGCTGTTACAGTCAACCAGGGATCGTGAATTGGGGAGATGCATGAGCACCTAAGCCAGTTGGCAGGCAACATGATGAGGACATGGTTTCCAAGTTCCAGCCTATTTATGTAATATTAAAAGTGCTTTAGCTTACACTGACTAGAAACATTTAGTTTTTAATCTGTGCTGTGTTTCATGAAATCAGAAACAGATTATAATCATTACAAGTGAAGCTGAAAATAAAACAAAAAAGCAGCGGGTGGGAGCCAAAAAAAAGTTAAAGATATTTTGAAGCAACACTCATTGGCATAGAGAAAGAGGAACAATTTAAAGAGAGATAGGCACTGGTGTGAATAGGAGAACAATGCATAGACAAACATAACAATGTAAGCAGAACAAAGTTGGGAATTGTTTGCAGTCCGTCTTTATTGTGAATATATGGCACTTGATTGATGGTTGTTGTGTACCAGAGGTTTTAAAAACAAAGCAGACAACGTTTGTCAGTCATCCACTTCTTCATTGAGAGATGAAAATCTTGACTTGGTGAGGATATGATGAAACATGTATCTTTTAATCTAGTTTTCTTATGACCAGCTGTATTACTTCCATTTGGAGAAACTAAGTACTGTAATGTCTGCTAGCAACATATGTGTTTAAACTAATGGGAATATTTCCATAAGTGTCTCTAAGAAATAATCCTGAAAATCCTTGCTCCAGACTTGAGTAAAGAAGATCAGTTTTCCTCCTGGATGAGAGAGCAGTTTATCACAGCCTGTGATGTGATGTCTGACCATTTGTGCCGTGAATCTGCTCAGATTCAGGTGAGTTGTCATTGTCAGTGTTTCACATTTCTGTCACATTGGAGAAAAGGGTGGCACACGAGTTAGATCTTTTCTATCATTGTCCACTGTTAGTTAGTGAGACTTTTCCCTCTTTTTTTCTTGTGCCTCATTTGTGCAGAGATACCATGATGCTAAAGTCCTTTTTCTAATGATTTAATTACGGTAATATTGCCAAATATTATATGTTGCCCAGTTTTAACTTTCCACATACTATTATTTGTCTCAATTTGTTTTTCTTTTTTCTGTGTAAAACTAATTTGTCAATATTCTCATCCTTATGGCCCTATGCTATGTAATAACAGCACAGGGTTTGTTGTCTTCTTAATCCATGGTATTCTAAAAAATACATCTCCACTGCCATCAGATTCTTTATGTTCTAATAAGAAATTATTATTCATGACAATCGGATGTTGTAAAGAACTTGAAGGTATAGAAAAGATAATAGGAATTGAGGTGGCAGTAAAATAATTATCAGTATTTTTCACCACAGCTTACCATGGTGGATAAACTTTGTTTATGTCTGCATACACAGGTGTATCTGTATTTCCATGCCACAGCTCTCTGTGCTTTACATGTTTATTGAATGTGTAAAGCTGCTAGATGTTTTCTTGTCAGTTTTTAAAATACCAAAATCCACATGTTAACATAGATTGAAGATTGGAATGCATTATAATATGCTTTCTAATCTTTTCTTATCAGACAACTGCATTTACATCTCTTGTTGCGCTGCTGCAAGTACTGGATAAGAAGTGTCCACAGGACCTTAGTGACAAGTTGATCGAGGTTTGACTGACTCTGTACTCTGTAACTAATTTATTATAGTGTATTTATATGAATTTGTTGTTGAACGCATAGTCAATAGTTTTCATAAAAGTTAAAGTTTAACTCATGCTTTCTTATCATGTTATTATCTAAAGTGTATAGTAAGTAGTCTTCAAAAATAAATCAACAGCTGTTTCATTTATTACATATGAAATCCATCATAAATCATCACGTGCCTGTAGGTGTAAATCATTAGGGCACCATCAGTTTTTTTTTTGCTGCTCGCTGAAAATTATTATGGGCCGGAGAGAATGATGCACCTGGGTGTCACCAGAGGGCACACTACGCTCAGAGGAAAGGCAAGACGGACATACAACCAGACTACGACTGGCACCATTAGTAATGGAACTCTGCATTGGCTGCTGAGTACAGGGACGGAGCGCATATGGGAATGCCCCAAGTGCTGTGATGTAAATTCTTGACTCAACTCAGTTTGTCTTTATGGTTCATTCTCATGGTTGCCTTTTGTCGCCATGGTCTGGCAGATTGTATGTTTCATTAATATGCTGGTGGTTTGGTTGTTCTTCTTTTGCCATGTGGTATTGGTAGTCATGTCTAACCACAACCTTCTCTCTCTGTGTACTTTCAGTCAGTTCAGACACAAATGATCTTTCATGCCAAACTGTTTATAATTTTCCCTCTCGCTCCCTCTAGATTTCCCACCATCACAGTTTACTCATTTTTTTCCCTTCTCATGACATGACCAAAGAATTTAGAATGTTTTCTTCTAATGTGGACAGCAAGTTATCTTTATGAGTCACTTTCTTTCAAGACATCATTATTCTTGGCCTGTCCTGGATCTTCTTATCATTCACTTATAAAACCACATCTCTGCCTTTTCCATATAATTTTCACTAATTGTCCAACTATCCATGATTCACTTCCACGTATCAGGATATCATTAATATAGCTGTTGATAATTCTCATCTCAATTGACAAAGAAAGACTGCATAGAATATTGGTTTTGGATTAGTTTCCTGAAAAGTAAACTGTCTGTTGGTTGTACTGCTTCAGGTGAACAAAAGCCAACCGATTTCTTATTGCATAAGGAGCTTCTTGTACTATCACAAACAGGATGCAGTTCCCAAGCGGGAGGTTGGCCTGCAGGCTGTCCCATGTGCTCAGTGTATCCCAGTATCCTTCTATGCCTTAAGGTGTCAGGTTTTTTTGGGGGAGTGGTTTATACTATCTTTTTTTCATCATGCATTTGCTTTTATTAAATATAAGCATACTGTTACTGTCCTCAGAGCATCATGTCATGTCTTTTAAACGATGAATATGACCAGATGGGGCTTATCAAGCTTCTGCCTTCAATGCTGACTGCATGGTCAGACAAATTACGCATGTGTTCTGTGTGCTTGTCACATCTGAGGAAAAAACTCAAGAATATAAATCAGGTAAAATTACTAGGTTTTATTTTATATAGTGCATAGAAGGTCCGTTATCATACATAATTTGACATGTATTGATTGGCACTCATACAAAGTTGTAGAGAGGTGGTATTTATTTCCTTATAAAAGATTCAGTAGTTCTTTTCATCTAGTTGTGGGAGACTTTGCTTCACGTGGTGATTCCATGTCTTCCTATTGCACATCGTCTGGAAAGATGGTAAAGTGCCAGCAATTGTCTGATGTATTGATACTCAGTGACAGTGTATATTTCTGTTTGTTCACAGTCTGTATCTACCATTAGTCTACATGCTACAGTGATAGAGTGCACTGCTTAAAAGTAGAATGGCATTGATTGCTTTCATTTCAGTGTTTATGTTTTTGCTATAGCACACTCAGTTTGTTTCTAAAAAGTAACAAATATTGTTTTTCCTTTACCATACTCTAAAATAAAACTGGTTTGATGGTTTTAGACATTGTATTGGTACTTGGAGACACGCATATGTGGTCTCTGAGCAAATCATTTAGAAGAAATTAGCTAAATACCAAGTTTTATTTGTTTTAATCAACAGATAGTTGTAAATACAACATAAAGATCTATGCAAACAAAACCGTAACAAAGAAAGTTAGTAGAACCCCTGCCCCACTGCACATACAGCTGAATGGTTCTGCTCTGAAACAAGTTAGGGAGTTTCAATATCTAGGCCTCCGTGTGGGTTCCGGGGCCCCATTGTGGGGGAAAACAAGAATAGACCCACTGCCTCCCCAAAAGCATGTCGTAAGAGTTGACTAATTGGGGAGCTTCCTTTGAAGTCGGAGTGCATCTGCCGGAGAGGCAAGGAACCAACAGTCCGTATTCAAGAGAGTGAGATCTGTAAAACTGATGCACACGCAACACTCAGGTTCTGGAGCAGGACTGCAGTTCAGTAGTGGACGAGCAACCAGAACCTTCCGCCAGAGTTTACAGCTGGTGAACGCGAAGAAGAAGAAGAAATATCTAGGAAATATTATCACAGAAGATGGTAGAATTCACAGAGAAATAGAAACCAGATGTCAGAAAGCAAGTGCACTTATATATCAATTGTCACCATTATTAAGACATCCAAGCATAACTGAGAGTGCAAAGAGACAGATTATTAACAGCATATTCATTCTATCATTAAGCTACCAGTGCCAAACATGGACACTATGGATGAGGTGCCTGAGAAAAGCAGCCAACCTAACCATCCGAGATTGAGTTAATAATGAAACTATCAAGAAAATTGTGGGAACAACACCTTGTACTAAATTCATCAAAAAGCAGCAGATCAAGTGGTTTGGCCATCTCATAAGAATGCAGCAAGATCAAATACCATCACAAGCACTACGTCTCAGAAGATCAGCTACAAGAGCAAGAGGGCGACCGGGAAGAAAATGGATCAACAACATTAGACACTACACTTTTATGGCATGACAATAGCCAGTGGCAGCCAACGTGCACTGGATCGCAAATTATTCCTCCCCGCGTCGCTTAACAGCAGAAGTGGATAATGATGATGAACAGATAGTTGGCAGAGTAAAGTATGACACTGCAATTTAAACAAAACAAATAGCCTATTTGGCAGTTTTGCTGGGTTGATTATGTCAGGGTAAACTAGTTTTTGTATGATTTTAAAAAGATCATTCATATTATAGGGAAAACTTGTTTAATTTCAGTCATTAAGTTAGTTGGAAACTAGTCTTTCATTTGAAAATGTCACTTTGCAGGCTGCTGCAGACACTGGGTTGTTGAACTGTTGGCGAACAATCAGGCAGCTTGCTAGTCATGATCTAGGTATTTATTTCATTTTATTCAATCTGCACACATGTTCACAGTCTACACATGATACATTCACTTGATTCTCTTATCTGTCAGCAATGGTTTTTTTTTTTTTTTTTTTTTTTTTTTTTTTTTTACATTTACCCATTTACATTTTACAAACACATTTAAGATATTATCAGAAAATAATTGTTTCATTATTGAATTAAGTCGTTATTGCACTTGAACCATACATGAAATTTACAGTGTCAGCACTGAACAACAGAACTGCACATTTAATTAAATGTATTGTGTTGGTTAAATCAGAGGCACACCTTCAGTCCAACTTGCACGTCTAGAAGGAAGTGATTGAGAAGAAAGGGGATGACCATCAGTGTCTCAAACAAAAACCATGATCTTAAAAGAGGAGAAGAAACATCAGATTATAATGGGAAAAGATGCACAGGAACAGGTAAACCAGTTCAAATACCTTGGAGTTGTTATAGGCTGGAATGGAGGCATCAAGTCAGAGTTGGCTGCTTGAAAGCAGCAGCTTTGAGACTTTTCCAGGTCATAAACCGGGGCTTTCTCAGCAAAAGAGAAATTAACAAGTAATTAGACAGTCCTGACATGGGTGCGAGTCAGGGGTAATGACAACAGCTCACAGAAGCCAGCTTGTTTAAGCATATTAATCGAGTCACTAAGAATGCATACATGTGTGAACTTTTGAGTACCAAGCCATGCTAAAGCCCCATGTTACAGCCATAGTTTCCATTCAAAGGCTACAAGTTCTAAAAGCGAAGGTGCCATTGATCTCCTTGATGGTTTTCCCCCTTGAGCTTACTGTAAATGCCCATGCACTTCGCTTGCCCCTAATTACTGACCCATTTGTGTAAACTATAGCATCACCTTCAACTGTGTTTTCATCAATCAGTGTTCTGACTAAAGTGTCAACAATGCCAGGAATATGCTCTCTACAGCTTCCATCAAGTGTGATATGGACTGTAATATTAATGTTTGGATAGGGAGGCATAATTATCCATTCAATTCCAAAATTAATGTCAGTAAGGCGGCAAACATGTTCGATGGCATCCTCAGCCCGACCCATCCAGGATTCGCCTCGTTTGAGTCTATTATTTTTTTTTTTTTTTGCTTGAATAATTCCTCATTAAGTGGGTGTTGATGGTCTGACTTCACTTTGAGGAATGCAACAGCCCTGTATACAGGGTTCGTAGTGGGCCGGGAAATCGGGAAATTACCGGGATTTTTTTCGTTGACCTTGAACCGGGATTTTTAGCTTATAAAAGACATTCCGACCTTAAAAACCCGTGAATTTTGACCGCGGCAATGAAATCGTCAGAAATCCTGTGTTTTTCAGCACAGGCAATTTTGAGGGAGCCATTTGGCTTTTTTTGGCCATTTGGCTAGTTTTTGGCTACTTTCGTTGTATGGTCGTTTCAGGTGTGAGGGCAGCTGATTATTGGCTATTTTCAGCCGAAATGGCTTGTTAAAGGCCAGGGGAGGGCGGGCTTTGTTGCTGATCATGAAAACATGCAGACAGCAGCGGTGTGGCATGGGGCGGGAAGTAGCAGATTCCGTCTCGCGCGCGTGTGTGTGTGCCTTTGTTTCTAGCGAGTCCGGCAGAATGAACAGTTTAAATCGTTTATGGCCGTGGTTTCTAGAAAGGATTACATTGGGAGATGGTGGGGCTCGGTGCAGTTGTATTTATAAATAGAGTCGCCGTGGTGGTGGGGGCTAAGCACGGCCTTCTCTATTAATTAGAGATGGCATTGGGGCTAAGCAAAGTGACTGCAGCTGGATTTCCCAGTTCTATTTTTGGCCTGGATTTATCTTTACAGTGTGTTTGGCGATCAGTATTGTAATTCCCCGAGATTCCCTCTTCTGTTGTCTCACCCCTCTCTCTCTCTCTTCCCTCCCTCTTTCACTCTTCTACCTATTGCTCCTTCCTTCCCGTCTCCTGCATTGTCTCTAACCCTCCCTTCTGATCTTCATCTTCTTCTCTTTCTCTCTATCTTTTCTTTTACTCTCTCATTTCCTGTCCCCCTCCCCCTTTTTCCTATTTTATTTCTTGTTTAAATGTTTAGTAAATGTGCGGCTCCATAACTCTCCCTAGCAACTCAAGTACACAGGAAGTTGTATGGGGGGGGGGGGGGGGGCATTCTGTGTGAACATGGTGGATATTTTCTTTTGATGTGTTTGTTTTCCTAGCGGCCTTAATCTCTGTCCATCTCCCTTCCCGCCCCCTCACATTTTTGTCCTACCTGTTCCTCACTCTCTGACTGTCTGTGTCACTGCTTTCCTCTCTCTCTTTGTATTTGCCGCTCTCCCTCACTCCCTCCCTCTCTTTCTCTCTCTCTCTTTCTTTCTTTCTCCATACCTTCAGTTGGTGTATAAGGTTATGTGTTGCCTAGTGCAGAACATTTCATGTCCATCATTCCCCCTCCCACACATTAAATATATGTGTACTTTTAAAAACACATTTGCCGTCACCCCCCCCCCCCCCCCCCTTTTCTCCTCCCACATTGATGACACCTAGGGGAGGGAGTGCACCCCTTCCTGCTACCTTCTTCCCTCTATATCTCATCTTATTTCTTACTCCCTTCTTTCTCTCCCTGTCTCATTCCCACTTTATTTTCTTAAACTTTATTCTCTCACCTCCTCTGTCTCACCCTTACCACCTCAGCCTTCTACACCACTTTCCACCACCTCCTCTCTCCCCTCCTTTCTGTAATTGGAAAACCAGAAATAAAATGAAGTCCACTGCTGCCCTGACCTATTTATGTGTCTGACCTATTTATGTGTGTGGGTAAACTTCTCTATTTTCCACCAGTGGTGGGTTGGGATCCCCTGGACTTTTTTTTTTCTTCATAAAATGACCTTGGCTCTCAGGTCACCAGCCTTTAGTGTAAGAAATAAATTATTGTTGTCACACACAGATAGGACAAGCAAGGGGCAGTAGGGGTTAGCACTGTTGTTTTTGGACCACGGCCACATTCACATTGGGAGAGGGTAGGAACCGGAAAAGTGGCCTCACTTAGAGATTTCCTAATTCTATTTTGGGCACTCATTGTTCTTACACCCCCCACCCCCACAACCGTGTCTTACCTTTCTTCTCTCACCCCTTCTCTTTCCTTTGATCTTCTACTATTCTCCTTTCTCTCTCCATTCTTCCTCTCTTCCTTTCCTTGCCCTTTCTCCTGTCCCATCTCTTCTTTGTCTCCTCTCCATCCTGTCTTTTCATTTTCTCTAGATTTCCTTACCCGCTCCCCTCTCTCATTCTCTCCCCCCCCCCCCCCCCCCCATTTTTTTTTTTACCTGGTTCATCTACATATTTTTTTGCCCCATAACTATCTTTTCCTAGTGGTTGTGTCCACTACACTTGAAATTGTGGGGGGGGGGGGGGGGGGGGGGGGGGGGGGGGGGGGGGAGTGGGTGGCTGTTTTTTTTCTTTGAGGTATCTTGTCTCCCTTCCTTCCCCCCTCTCTTAATCTGTGTTTGTCACTGCCTTCCTTACCCACCTTTCTCTCTCTCTCTTGCTTTATGTCTGTTTGCCTCCCTTCATCACTTCCTCTTTGTATACCTCCCTCCCATTCTCCTGCTCTGCCTTTTTTCTCTTTCTTTGGTTCTCTCCCTCTGTCTGCTTGCCTCTCTGTGCTGTCCCTTTATGTCTACATCTCTCTCTGCTTGCATCTGCTTCTCACCCTGTCCGTTCTCTCTCCCTCTGTCTCCCTTCTTTCAACTCTTTGTCATATTTTCCTCCTTCCATATCTCTGTTTCGTTCCCTTTTTCCTTCTCTTTTCATCTGCCCATCTCTGTATCTGCATTCCCTCTTTCTGTATTTGTCTCCCTCTCTGTCTTTCGCTGTCCCTTCCCCACTTTTCCTCATCATGTCTCCATCCCTCCCTCTCATTTTTTCCTCCTTCCCCAGACTTCTTTTCCTTCTTTTCTCTACCTTCATCTGTCCATCTTTACACTGTCTCTCCCAGCCTACCTCAGCATGTGTCTTCCTCTCTCTTCATGACTCTCTCTCTCTCCCCTAACCCTCTCAGGTACCAGGTCCAGAACAGACAGGACTTCAGTTTGCTGCCCTCTACCACCAAGCCCTAAAAAAAATTTCAAACACTATATCAAGCTCAGGGGCCGACCAACACGAAGATGGACACAGGATATAAGTGACTCCTTGAGTATAAAAAAGTACATGAGGCGGGAGAGCTGGTGAGAGACCGAGTTTTTTTTTGTCAGGATAAAGGAAATGCTACATGATGATGATATCTGTGCTGGTATACCAACACATGTGGCACAAATGAAGTACCTTGTGTGCTCAGTACACCCTTGAACAAGGCAAAAATCTTGTATTAGTATTACACCGAGACAACCTTGAAAAAAACTAAGGAGACCTTGAAAAAGACCTTGAAAAGCCTTGAAATTGATTGGTAAATTTGGCTATGAACCCTGTGTATAGCTTGATTCTGTTTTCCATTATGGGGAAGTCCAAGAGGTATTGCATGGATTTATAGAAGGTGTCTCATATTTCCTAGGTTGTCTCCTTGGCTTGCTGGGCAGCTGCGTGGTGTGTTTGCATTCCCGCAATTGGTCTGGAGTCGAGTCAGTGAATTTCATTGCTTTTTGTCAGATCTTCACAGCATGTCTTTTAAGTACCCACGTTGACTCAACCTCATCATTCCACAACAATGGTTGTTGCAGCTGTTTTCTTCGGCCCACACGATGTTGGCTTTTGATTTTCCTAAGCTTGCTTACGACATCATTTTCGGATGTGTATTTTAAAGGGTTTGAATTGATCCAATGATGTGTGCTGACACTCTTTTGTAAGAGAATAACACAGGAACAGTGGTCGCTGCCAGGATTTACCTAGTACATACCAACTACAACGTGGACTACGTGCAGGTAAAAGTGCTATGATGTCGATTCTTAAATCAACATTCATATCTTAGAAGATTATAACAATTGTTACCGGCGGAGTAATTGATACTTATATTTTAGTATTGTCTCTCTTTCACAGATGAGAAATTAAAGGGACAACTTACAGGAGTGGTTTGTGAATTTCTGAAGCATAAGGTAATTGATAGCAAATGATTACATAAAAAAGTCATAGTATGATTATAGTAATTTAACTTGGTGAACCCATCTTTTTTTTATGTTATTTTTTGCGGTTTAATTTAGTGTGCACATTATTATACTGTTTTTGTTATGTGAAAATGTGATTCTGGGAAATAAAAACAAAAACTCTCATTATGTGGTCATCGGGAGGGGGGCATAAAACAACACCATAGGTCGGTCAATGCAGAAACGCTCTGAGTAAAAAAGATTAGTACAAGATAGACAACTCTATAGTGGGATGATCAGGAAGTTTAATTCTAACCTTAGGCTTCAATATTGGACTTTGATAGGGATTGGGCAAACATTTTCATGTTTAATGATTTTGTGATGTTTTATATGATTTCATGTGTCAATATGATGCTGCAGATGCCTGCAAGATTGTACCGAGAGATTCTCACTGGCATCTCCTCTGTAATGGACAAAATGTCAAATCCTCTGCGACTTGCTGACTTCCTCTCTGAGTCTTTTAACATTGGTGAGTAGACCATGACACACATTTATATACCTCTCAGGGGAAATGAACAAAAAAACAATTTCCACCTTAGTGTGTGTGTGTGTGTGTTTTTTTAATGAGGCTTCTTTCTTCTGTTTATTACTTATTGTAATTGAAACATCATTTAGTATATTTTTGTGTCTGTGTAGAGTGAGAACCCTAACATAAATGGATACTGGTGTCGGAGAAATTGAAAATGTGGGTGGCCACCACCCACTCGGTTTATCTCTGGAACAGTTGCACTAGTCATATGAGTTGTGCATCTTTTCCTTTCTCTTTAATGAGTTTCTACATCATAGTTTGTGTTGTGTTCATTTATTTCTTGACGCTAGAGATACACGACTCTGGCTAAATCCCCATGCAAATCTGGATAACAGAAATGTATTTTGGACTCCTATAAATGTTTGATTAGCATCTGCGCCTCATAGTGCGCAGTAAGATATTGTGGTTTTAGATCCGTTTTGAGGGGGATGGTTGCACTTCAAGTTCAAATTATGCATTTCCTTGTGCTGACCCTGATGTTGCAGGCCTCGTTCTGTGGTTTAGCTTTCACCGTGACCACATTCTCATTCTGTGGTTGAGCTTTCACCGTGACCACACTCTCATTCTGTGGTTTAGCTTTCACCGTGACCACATTCTCATTCTGTGGTTGAGCTTTCACCGTGACCACACTCTCATTCTGTGGTTGAGCTTTCACCGTGACCACATTCTCATTCTGTGGTTTAGCTTTCACCATGACCACATTCTCATTCTGTGGTTTAGCTTTCATCGTGACCACATTCTCATTCAGTGGTTTAGCTTTCACTGTGACCACACTCTCATTCTGTGGTTTAGCTTTCACCGTGACCACATTCTCATTCTGTGGTTGAGCTTTCACCGTGACCACATTCTCATTCTGTGTCTTCCTTTTTTTTTCAGTGCTGTCAGCAGTGAATTTCTACATTTCCTTCATGCTGGAGCAGTTTCATAAATTCAGTTGCAGGTGCAGTTTCTGTGATTGTGGTCTTCCTGAGATGTGGAAAGAAATATGAGTATTCTATTGTCTGTTAGGGATCTTTTTGGTAGAGTGAGGAATACACATGAGCGGCAGTCAATGAAAAGCTCATCTTGTAACGTGGCTTTGCTTTTTAATGTGCATAAATTGTATGTGAATGTTGTTCCTTCTTTTTTTCAGGTGGTGCTGTTAGTTTGATGAGCTTGCATGGGCTGTTCCTGCTTATGCACAAATATAATCTGTAAGTTTAGTGTTTCTGTGTAAGACAGTTGAGTCGCATTACAGAAAGTTTGTGCTTCAAGTAACTTGTTCTTTTGTCTAAAATGTCAACTGTTAACCAAGTAAAATAAAAAGGACCCTTTTTTCACGCCTTTAGGCGTATAGACCAATCGGTACAAGATGGGTGATATGGTCAGCATCCCGTTGGCCGCCTTTACTTCCTGGGAGTGCACCCAGTACTCACTCAAGGCTGGGTCAACCTGGGAGCGAACCGACGATCTTCTGATCTGTGGCTAGCGCCTAGTCTCTCCACCATGGCGACTCCCAACTGTTAAACAAGGTCTGACTGTATTTGAGAAGTATGAAATAGTTTCACACATATAGACTATGGCACATAAAAGAATGGACTCTAAATTTAGATAACACATTAAACCTTTAGCAAAGAAACAAGGCGCAAGATTTATGGTTTACAAATTCTGCATTTACAGATGTATAAGACACAAAGAGAAGGTAGAGCACTTTGTTGCTTTATCATATTTAAGCTGTTCCTATTTCCATGTACAGTGCATTACATAAATATAGTTATATTCTGTTTTCAAAAGGACATAATGTATCCATACCTGTCGCTCATTGTTATAGAATGTATGCACATAATGTTATCAATATAAGTGATACATTTTCATAACATGTGTATTTGCATAATTTTCCAGGGACTATCCAGATTTTTATGCCAAACTCTACTCAATGTTTGAGCCTCAGGTGTTTGGCGCGAAATATAGAGCCAGGTTTTTCTACCTGGCGGATACTTTTCTGACGTCTACGTAAGAATAATTGTATTTTTTATTAGCTGTATAAAAAAGTAAAGTCGAGAGATGTGAACCAGCGTCATTGCACACGGTTATAAACCATAAGTGCTCTGCCACCAGTACGGACAGCTGATAAGAATTGTCCGCCTGTGTCGCCGTTCGCACGTAACTCTGTAGCTACAGCGACATTCCTCCATTTACCCCAGAGTGTCAACTCTGGTACCCATTTTCCTAGAGGCTGGGTGAATCCCAGGAACCGCCCGGTTTTGAACACCGACCGTGGGCTGCAACGGGTCACAGCTAGATTAGAAAGCGAGCCTCTTATCGACTGTGCTAGCGCGGCTCCCTTAATAGCTGTATAATCTGATTTAATTTTGAATTATTTTGCAATTTACTGGCTGGTTTGTTAGCCTGTGTTTGCCTATATGGTTCTTATCAAGCAATCGATTAATTTATTTTTAAAAAAGGAAAACTGATTCAAGCAACTTTATAGAACTGATCTTAGTAGGAATGCAAGACATTTATCAACAAATGTGTAATGATGGCAAGAAGAGGATAACTTGCTCAATAACTAAATAGGAAAGTGGCAGTGGATGCGACCAAGAAGAATCAGAATGCACACACCACTGAGAAGAGCAGTTGTTGCTGCACTGTATTTGACACTCAACACAGGATTGTTAGCTAGCCATTTCAGACTTGTGTAAATTACCTGGTAAAAGATGTAACTGATAGTAATATAAATGTAACAGATTTTACATTTTGCAGATATTCATCCAACATTTTGTGACATTTAATATTGTATTCATTATTATTACCATATTTTGTTTGTATGCTGCTCCTACATCACCTGCATTCACTTGACATTAAATCTGTCGATTCACCTAAAGGCTTGTTTGTGGTCTTATATCATAGCCACCTCCCTGCATACGTAGTGGCAGCATTTGCCAAGCGGTTGTCCAGGCTTTGTCTGCATGCGCCAGCATCTGGGAGTCACATCGCCATCCCGTTTATTTCAAACCTAATCAGCCGGCATCCTACTTGTGAAGTCTTGCTGCATCGGACACAGGGACCAACAGGTCAGTCAGTATACTGTAAAGGACAAATGCTCACTGAAAATGTGTTACTTATTTGTATGTAGTGATTGTATTTGACAGACATGTATCTTTATACTTGAATGTAATTGCAGAACATAAGTTGTTGAAAATAAAACCACCACCACTAGACTTTAAATAGAAAAGAAAAGCTGTCAGATCTAACGAAAACTGAGATTAAGTAAACATTATGGGTGTTTGGGGACTACACACACATTATAAGGTCAGAGATGAATGTTTTCAAAAAGCAAATGAATTTCAGTAACATAAATTTAGTCAGTTATCATGTCCTTAATGGAACAACACTCACATTAAGACCTAATTTTATAAGTAACATAATTTTAATAAATAAACAAATACAATTCATGGATGTAAACATTTGTGTTTTTTGTCAATAGAACTAGACACAGATCCATTCCTGGCAGATGAAACAGATCTGTCACAATGCAGAGCCCTTGACAGCTGTTTGTGGGAACTCCAGGTATATCAACATTTTTTTTTTTTTTTTAACAACAAATTAGTTGTTGATTTCTTTCATAACATCTCATTTAATTGGTTTTCTTCTTATGCCTTGTCATATTGTGGTGAAACACCAGCAGAGGGAGAGTGCCCATTTTACTTTAGGTCTGTCTGTATTTCATTCTGTATCTTTAAGCAGTAGAGTAATCCCCTGCCAGCTTGCTAGGCTAGTCACGGGTTTAGCCCTCTTCCCCCCCCCCCCCCCCCTTTTCAAGAAGTACCAACACCTGCATTCTGGTATGTGCCATGGCCTAGTAAATGCCACTTAGACAGTGCAGTAATCTGCACTTAGAGCATTAATTCTATGCAGATGTGCACATTTTTAATAGGTCCATCAATGGCTAAAGCTACTAAAAAGGAATCATATTTTTAGGTGTTTTATTGTGATCAACTGGCTTTATTTATATAAATTACGGTGTCCTGATTTCCCGTTAGTCTCCACTGGCTGGGTCACCTAAATGACTAGATATGGCATAATGAAGACACGAACACTGACCTGATCGTGGTTGTTGAAGTGTGCTTAGTAATGCTTACATTATGATGATGCCTAGTGACACAGAATGACTTTCACTTAGAATAATAACTGTACACTTTTTATTTCATGCGATTCTTGCTTTTTTTTTTTTTTAAATACTAGCAGTCTTTATAGCTTTATAAAATGTATTGTGTGTGAGAGGTGCCTTTTTGGGAGCTCAGATTCTTGTTTTACAAGTCATTGTCCCGAGATATATTGTTAATTTAATTGCGACTTAATAGAACACAGGCAAGCTGAACCAGCCTAGTTATGTCAACATGATTTATTAAAATTATTTTAGTAGACAAGTGTTTGTGTAAACTTGTGTATATTTATTTTGTTGTATAACTAATACAAGCACAAAGAGTTAGATAATTGTGGCTCGACTTCATCTGTAATCAGTTTATCATTTTGTGCCCTTTTCTGCAGACGCTAGAGCACCATTACGATCCAAGCCTGTCAGTTAAGGCCCAGAAAAGACGTATTGCCGAGAATGATTTGTCTCCTCTTCTGGAAAACACTTCAAGTGATGTAAGTCAGGTTGTAGTGTGCTGCATGTAAAGTAAGGACCCTCTTCTCACCACTGGCAAATTGTGGATATGGAACTAAATCTGTATTTTTATGGACCAGTCAGGGCAGCTGCCTTTACTTTCCATGATATTTCCTCGTACTCACTTTAGGCTGGGTTATCTTGTAAACTTAGTTCAGTTATATGTCTGGACATCACACCTTTGATTTGGCAGGCAAACACATCTGTTTAGCCACAGTGTTAAACATCAGACCTTTAACCCAAAAGGCAAAAAAATTTAGCCACTCCACTGCAGCGACTCCCATGCACAGTGTGGTAAATTATTCGCTTCCTCTTCTCTTTCAGCTTTTACAATTGACTCAACTGTAGATATAAGATGTCTTCTCTGGTATTTTAATAAATATAAGCAGTTTTTCTCCTAGCTCTAGTTATCATTTCTGACTTGCACAAGAAGAAAACCAAGTAATTATAACATAAATGAAACAAGTATTGCAAGGGAAATATAAAAAAAATAAAAATAGGTGAAATTGTTTAGCTTGGTGATCATGATTACCAGCTTCACACATACACACAAATGAGTGGGATACATTGGGAGAGGGACAGGTGTCACTGCAAATAGGCGGATAAACTAAAATAGCACAGATGTGTGAGAAAGCTCATTCTAGAGGTCTTTTCATTTGCTAGTTCTATAGCAGTGGTTCTCAACCTTCTTAATGCTATGACACTTGAATACAGTTCCCTCATGTTGTGGTGACTTTTTCCCAAACAGTTATTTTCCTTCATAACTTCAATGAATATGTGTTTTCTGAAAGTCTTATGTGACCCCTGTGAAGGGTCATTCAACCTAAAAAAAAATGATCGCGACTGGCAGGTTGAGAACCGCTGTTGTATAGGGTAAAAGAATATAGTAGGGGAAGGTATTTAATTTGCTCTACTTGCACAATTTATTAAACATTTGTTAACTTTCTGTTTTTCATCCTTGTAACATTTTTGGTGTGTGTGTTGCTCTTTCTGTGCAGATCATAGCTTCAGAGGCCAAAAAAATCAAGAAGGAGATTCCAGTCACGTTCCAAAGGCCCCGCAGAGTCGATTTTTATTTATAGATTTTACATGTTATTAAAAGTCTGCTGAGAAATTTCTGTTCTGCCTTCTAAGTCTTTTTTATACAATGAACTTATAATATATGAGAAGATGGCTGATTATGACAAGAATCTTAGAGACATTTTATTCCAGATGATTTGAATGTGTTTATGTGGATAATGAATGTAGTTATTGAAAGTGTATCTGGGTCACAGAAACTCAAAGGGTCATTTTGCAGAAGAAGAATTCACTCACACTCTAATGGCAGTATTTCAGATTGAGCTACCTTTCTTATATTCCACATGTGTGGTGGGAAGTTGCTGAATGACCTTGAACAAGAAGCACTTCTGTTATAGTGTTGCACACTAGTTAGTTTTCTCAGCTTGGAAAGATGCACTTACATGACAAGCATAGAATGGACAGTATAAAGTATGGGTTTTCTCTGGCTGTACAGTTAGTTACATTGCCTACAGGTCAAGAGGAACATTATGTTGAATGAATGAGTCATGTAATTTTTTTTTTTTTTTTAAATAGTTTAACACATGATACAACGCAGACATAGTACCTTTTCTGCAAGGAAAGAAGACACTTTACAACTGTTTGAAATTTATTTGTAGACTCAAAATTGCAACCAGGCTCTACCAGTTAGCAACTTTACCTAATTAACTTCCAGATCAAGTGAGAGTCAATGCGCAGACTGCGGCATGACATATGTCATTCATAGAAGTCTCATATCAAGACAGGCATGCTAAAATAACTTGGTCACTTCTTTATGAGACAGCAAAATGCATCTCTTGTGTAAAACAGAAACATCAAATAATGTTCCCCATTTGAACAAACTTTATAAAAAATATTTTAACTAAGTCATTAAATAAATCAAAGAGTCCAAACTGTTGCCACACAAAAGAGTACGGAGTTTATGAGGCTCCTGATTTGATGACATCTTTGGTGTCTTCAGCTGCTGGTGGATCCACAGTCATGGAAAATCCCAGAATTTCATTGACCAGTATCTCGGCATTAATGTCAAAAGGCAGGTTCTCGGCAACGAAATCTAGTTCCTGCCAAGTCTCGTCTTCACAAGTTCCTCCTTCGTTGTTGAAACCCAGGAGAGTTGACAGATGCTCTGCCAGTTCAGATTCTGTCATCACTTCTCCTGTAAACACAAAATGTAGACAATGACTTCAAAATATGTGTAACGGTCACTGAGTTCCATGTAAAGTTTTATGTCAGTCAATTAGAATTGATCCATTTCAAACAAATAATCATTTAGATAATTCTTGATCAGTGGTAATTGTGCTTGCCATCCAACACAACAAATATTGTAACAAAATATATCATTTACATATTTCTTGAAAAGTGGCATCGATGATTGCATTATCTCTTCTTCCACTCATCTCCTAATGGAACTAAGGTCCTCAGTTAGCTCCCACCAAGTCCTTTTTCTCAATAGATTTGTTTATGATTGGTTGGATGTTCAAGCTAAAATTGTCTACAGGATGTTGTAGCCTGTCTGACACCCACTTCCCTGGCCACCTTTTACAACATGTAGGTTCCTGTACTGTTATTCTTTGTTGCCCTCTTAGTTGCTGTAACATGCGGATAACACTTATTTATAAATTTGCCATTAAAATACATCAAGACTTTTAAAAAAAAGTCACACTGATTCAATGTTTAGGACATATTTTATATGCCGTGCGCTTTAGTTATTCCTTATAAATCACCTCTTTCCTAATGGATGTGAGATTATTTAGCCTGATCCAAAAACTGGTAAATGAATTTGAGAAATGTGTGGACAACGACTGGGATTAACAGTTATATGACAAAGAAGAAGATGGTGATATGTTGAGGAAAAGTAAAGAACTACTTAAAGCATTGAAATGGGAACCAAGGACGACAACAAGAAACCCTAAGGTGAAAACTGATAAGGGTAAAAAATGCTGAACATTATTTCCATTAATGCTCTATAAGGGGGATAGTGATAGAGCAGAGTAGAAGAATATACTGCGAGTCCCATATGGTGATACAAATGGCACAGCATGATAATGATAAAAGACTGGTACTAAAAATTCTGAACATGTCGCTCACTTATGTAGAACCCATAAATATATTGTTCTGGCTTTCTTTTATTACATTAAAATGATTAATTTGTGGCCTTTGCCTCTGACAGTAATTTCTGGCTATCAGGACAAGTGACTGTCGTGTCCTCAACCCAACAGTTGTAGAGATGTTCCCTTGGTCAGGTGCGCTAGGCACATTTATTATGCTGTTGCCTGTCCCCTACTAGTAAAACAAATTGCAAGTGGAAGTTTACTTCCAACAAGCAGAGACCATGGTGGGATTTCTTGCACTTTCTAATACTTTACAGGAGAAAATGTATTTATTCTGCTGGACAACTGAAATGATTCCTTATAAACTTGTTCAGTCCCGGGTAATGTGGACTGGCTGCTTCTCTAAATCTCCACTATCTCTTTCAGCCATTTACTGTGTTATTTTACTGTTTACAGTTTGTCAGAGTATACTAGAGAATGCTGGCCCCTGCAATGATAATTTCAACTTTATTTTCAAATGTAATGCTTTTCTGATATATCATAGTGGTTATCTCTCCCTCTTGGTCATATGGTTCTAAAAGAGTTACATCTGCCAAAATAGCTGAATGAATGAGGATGTGTGGAGTCTACCAGGAAATGTCAGGGAAGTTAAAGTGGCCAGCAAAATGTTAACCACATCACCCACCAAGTGCCAAATTAAACTTTAGGTCTGGCACCATTTGTCCAGTGTATCAAAGGCATGAAAAGGGTCCCAGTTTAAAGGTTAATAAATCTAACTGGTATTGCAAATTGGGCATTTATTACAAAAATGATTATCTCAGTAGCTCTAACTACAAATATAAAAGAAATTATTCTAACCATTTTTCTGCAGCATGTTCAGGAAATCTCCTCTCTCAATAAGCCCTCCTTTGCCCGCATCTGGAGACTCCGATAATGTTTGGAATGCCCATAGTAACTTGTCGGGAGACAATCCAAATGCTGGTCTGTGGTTCACATACACTGTTTGAATATTTAGGCATAGTAATTTAATTAAAATAACGGGAAAACAGCTAATTTGTGTAAATGCCAACCACTAGAAGTACATTGTATAGGCTACTAACATTGTTATATAGCAGGTCCATTAAAATACATCTCTCCCATGAATGGCTGTCAAACAACCTCCCACAGTATATCCTGGTGAAGTCTCCAAAATGTTGCAAGATCCAGTGTTAGCACCAACAAGTCATATTTTTCTGTTTTCACTCTTAAAACTGCGGTTGGCATGCTGTGATGTAGTTTACATTTTTCAACCCAACATATTTGAGTAAAACCTTCAATAGTCACCATTTACGACATGCCTGTCAAAAGGCAGAGAGGTTCCCCACACCCCTCCTCTACAAATGCCATACATAAAATGATAAGGAATCCGTTGGTGTGCTACATAATATTTCAAAGTACTGGTAACTAAAGAATTAGCAATAGCCAAAATTTGGTGACCTAAATGTTAAAATAGGATTTGATAATACAAGTTATGAACGTATCACAGAAAAAAACAAGGACTTGAAACAATAAATGAAAAAATTATTCAAACATTGTTGTGCAGTGAATCAATATGCTTTAGCTTGAATAATAAGGAAACATGAGAATAACTAACACAGAAATATAATAGACTTACAGTGAAAGATACTGATTTGATAAATTTGAAAACAGTTCAAACATTTGGACAATGAATTAATATTGTGGACAGTCTTGGCACAGAAAGATGTCAACACATGACTTTCTCCTAGAAAACATGAGTTAAAATGTTTTTTGAACAAGTCTCATACATGACTTACGTTTGATGAAACGACCAAGATCAATATCCTGCTGATAGTGGCCAAGATTCACATATTCATCATATTTGATTTCATTCAGCATGTCCTGAATCTGAAATTATATTCAACCGTTTCTCAGAAATAACCTTTAAAAAAAAAACTCTACTGAATCTTAACAAAGGAAATATTTACTTTGTTTTTATTTCTAGCAACTTCTGTGTAAATTGTCAAATGTCAGCATTTGTGCTTGACCCACTGACAACATTACAGTTATTAGCATGTCTCAAATAAATACATATATGATCTCAAATCTCCTCTTGTAACACATTTAATGAGCATATTTTACTATGACTCTACACCATATGATTTAACTACTTTATCTATATTTCATATTTCTGGCTTATACAAAAAGGATTTGTATGTAAAAATTACCCTAAGAGCTATGTCAATGATAGTGTAACTACTGTGCGAGTTTCCTATGTGACAAAAGTCAAAGGAGAGCTACCAGAATATGAAATGTCAATAAAACTGCAGCCTTACTTGAGAATGTCAAAGACTAGAGAAGGGAAACATTAAAAGAAATTATGTCAAAATAAACTGGACTGCAAGGCAGCTCAACTTCATTTATAATAAAGAACCTCTCATTTTCCAACTCATTTCTGAGATTACAGTCTTCTTGGAAAGGACTTTCTAGATGTATGTACCTTAAAGTAAAACTAAGTATCTGTTCTTGTGTGAATATCAAGGACTGTCAGTCCTATAAAACTTCAATTGATATTTTTTTTTAAATTAGGTTGAGTATAGAGCATTCTTAACTGACAGAATTATTATGCAGTACATTTGTATGCCAAGTTCATCAGGCTCATCTCATTAATGCTTTGTCAAGGAAATATTTTCCTTAAGCTGAAGACGGGAATTATTTGCTTTTAAGTTGTTGCACATCTACAGCTTTTAAATCACTTAACAGTTTTATCATCATCATCATCAAGTGCCTTGCCAACTGGCCTGGGCAATCATGCCTCTCCACAGTCTGCAATCCGCAGCTGCTTGTATTCAGTTCGTTGACACCCTTCCATGCAATGACAAAAGGCTGTCAAGAATTTTCTCGCATTGATTTCCACTGCCTCTCTTTCCACAAATCTTTCCAGGGTCACAACATGCTTCAGTTTCCCTGCTCTCATAACATGACCAAAAAATGGCTACTGTCTCTTTCTGATGTTTGTGATAAGTTGTCTACGAGCCCACTCTTCATTCAAAACCTCTGGTTTGCTCTTTTTGGCCATACAAGAAATTCTAAGGATTCTACTTTAAAACCACATCTCTGAGCCCTCAAAAAATTGTTTTGCTTGTTTATTAATTTGTAGTGAAACTATAAAACTAGCTCTGCTAGCATGCATTCTTGTGCTAAACTCCAATAACATGGATTTAATTGCAATTAAATAATAGTAACAATTTTATAGAATTAAAAAAAATTATGATGATTGTATTTAATCATTAAATGTTAAGTTAAAAATAATGTGGATACAAAAAAAGTCCTGTAAAAAGGATCTCAACCTATGATTGAATTTCATTTAAAGCTTTAATTTTAAAAAAATTATTTTGAAATTTAGTTCATGGAGCATGTACTCCAGTCCCTACTAGCACTATTCATCATTAATCTTAACCACCAGGAAGTCACTGTCTGACTTTTTTAGATTTAATAGGAGCAAGGTAAAGTAATCTGGCTGCTGTGTATATTTTATCCAAGGTGTATATGATTCTTATTATTATAGTCCATGCTATGTGATGGTCATCATATCTTTCCACCACCTTCTGTCTCCTGTACTACCAATCATTTCTGACAGAGATGTTCCTATATACCATGATGGCACATTGTCTAAAAAATTTTTTTTTTTTTTGGTGGGGGGGGGGGGGGGGTGTTTTTCCTTGCCTCTCTTTGCTTTCAACTTTCCAACTGTCACAATGTATTCAAATTCCCCCCTCCTTATGACATACCCAAAAGTAGATTTTCTTCTTCTTATGGCAGGTAACCAGTTTTCTTTATGAGTTAATTTCTTTCAAGATATCTGCAAAACCTGTTTATAACTGTCCATAGTATTCTCATCACTTTTCCATAAAACCATATATCTACCCCTCTCACTTAATTTCTTGCTAATTTACCGACTGTCCATTGTAAAATTATTTAGCCTCTGAAACAAATGTGTGATTTGTTAAAGTAGTTTTCTTTCTCGGATATCAACAGCAAATTATACTGGCACTCAGCAAGTTACCAATGATTCTACAACTTAAAATTGGTTTCAAAACAACAATATAAACAACAATAGAGTTTTTAATGATCATTACAGAGAAGGCAAATCTTACTTCTTGCTCGGAAGGGTAGAATCCCATGGCTCTCATAATAAAGGGCACTTCACTGATAGGCACTTTGTTTTTGATTTGTCTCTTTTCCAAAGAACTGATACCTTGACTGAGAATTTTTTAAAATAAATACTATTTATGTCAATTATGCAACTGCACTCAAGTTGTTTGTTAAAAGTCCATTTTTAAAGAATAGAATAATTCTTGTATCTAAAGATATCTCAAATCTATGCGAAAATATTGAAATTCATTATGACTCTTTATTTTTTATTTTATACCTTTGATTCCGTTGCAACTTTCTGAGCTTCGCAGGCTCTTTGCCAAAAACACAACATGCTTTTGGTTATCTTTATCTGTGAATTTCCTCAAACTGACACATTCAGTCCTATTAAACCAAGATCCACACTTTCCTTCCACTTTCTTAGACATCCTCTTAATCTTGTACCTTGAATTTGCTCAGTAATTGCTTAAGTTTTCTCTTTGGAATTGATAATTTTTTTTTAACAAGTCATCTTAATTGGTTGAATTTAATTTCCATGGAAAAGGTTTTTTTTTTTTTTTTTTGGTGTTGGTCGGTGGGGGGGGGGGGGGGGTATTTGAGTTGATTCAAGAGCCGACATTACAGCACTCGGGGCATTCCCATAAGTGCTCCATCTTCACCAGCCAGTGAAGAGTTCCAATACCAATGAAAGGTACCAGTAGCCCAGTAGCAGTCTGATTATATGTCTGTCTTGCCTTTTCTCTGAGCATTGAGTATTGGCCAGATACTTTCATCACTCTTCACTACATCACTCTCACCAGACTGTGATGATCCATTTGTTCCTCTGAACTGTATATGTGTTCCTATAGGATGCATCAGTATTCCATCAAGTAGTGCAGAGCCAACCTGTTCATTTCCCACCACACCCTGGAGAAAAGATCCAGACAGTGCTCCTCACCTGTTACCTCTGAAGTGAAGCATTCCACTCTGCAGGAAGCATGCCTGTCTTCACCTTGGGGAGGAAGTGGGGGTGTACCCACCATGTCTACTACTGTGTAGTTACAGCCAGTACCAGAGCTGTTTTACAGGCAAAGTAGCCAGTGTCCAAATATTTTATGTCATCCACACACACAAAAACAGAAAATGTTGGAAAAACGGCTTTCTCGGGTGACAGGTTTAAACTGATTTGCTGATCCCTGTGTGGGTTCCGGGGTCCTATTGTGGGGAAAACAAGAATAGACCCACTGCACACCCAAAAGCATGTCATAAGAGTTGACTGATTGGGAGCTTCCTTCCATGTCGGAGTGCATCTGCCTGAAAGGCAAGGAACCAGCAGTCTGCATAACAAATCTGTAAAACGGACTCAGACGCAACACTCAGGTTCTGGAACATAATTGCAGTCCAGAAGTGGATAAACAACCAGAAGTTTCTACCAGAGTTTACATCTGGTGAATGCGAAGAAGAAGAAGAAGAAGAACTGATTTGCTAACATGTTTATAATTGTTCTTGTCATTTAGAATCACTGGTTAGCTGTGGAAGCAGTGATTACCGTCAGTCTATAAAATCAGATATATAGGTTTAAGTAAAGAAAAAACTTACTGTCTAAGTTGAGCATAATAAAATAAATCCTCGAGTTCAGCAAAGAGTTCCCCATCTCGCCCTCCTTCCAACAGCCCATAAAAGGGCACCAGATCCTCACCTCCCAATTTGCACTGTGCTTCTAAAGCTCTGAAAATATTAAGGTGGTGGGGGGGGGGAGGGTCGACAACAACAAATAAACATTAGATATCAGCATTAAAAATATTATTTCATTCAATATTCTATTGTGTTATTACAATGTTTAGGTTAAGGTTTAGACGATGGATCAACATCATGGCACAAGGGTAGTAACCCTTAAGTGCTCTGTTCTACTTCTGACTCAAGCCTGAGTCCAAAGAATCTCAGCTCAGTGCATGCACTCCGTAACACCAGCAAGGATCCTAAATTACTTTGGGTAGATTTTTAACTCCAAATTTTGGGTAGCGCTGTTTGACTACTCTTTTTCGATTTCCAACCGCCAAGGGATTTTTTTTTAATGTGCACAACAATACACATGGGCGTCCAATATTACTACCCAGAGACCAGGGGAAATTCCTAGAAGTGCACATAAAAACAATGATACCTCTGGCCTCTCTCATTATTTGCTGTAGGGTTCCTCTTGGATGTCATCATTACTTCAGTTAATTTGTTTTTCATTTCAGTACCTATTTCCTGATTCTTTGCTTCATCTTACAATCCACCCACTATGTTACTACCTTATTTCTCTTATAACTGTTGATACCATCAATTGTCTGGACATTTCTTTGCTTTCTTATCCTAGTTTTTTTTTTTTTTTTTTTTTATTAATTCCGTTTAATCATTACAGTCATGTCAGAATGGAATATACATATTATTTCATAAAATTATATTATAAGCTTTTTTGTTCTTAAATAAACAAAGAAGAAGAAACAAAATGTCACCAGTCTTGATCCTCTTGGTTACTGAAAACGAACTCATTTTATTTTAAGTGACGCAGTAGTCCATTAATTGTTATTGACAATTGAGGCAATATGTTTATAATAGAAAAGTCTGACCTGTTCTGTCACCCTGAAAAAGAGTTAGCCATAAACTGAAGAAAACAATTTCAATCCCTTTCCTCGGTCATACACCATAAATAAATAATATATCATTGCTAAAACTTATCCAACTGAAATCAAGCCATCTTTGTTTCTAGATGGTGGCTCATATATTTTTTTTTTCAGCAGAAGCTATTAAAAGTAGTAAAAACATAAACTGCACAAATTATTTGGCTTAGTGATAGCGTATGTCATGGCCTTATGGGCATGACCACAAAAACTAAGGCACAATCAGTTTAGAGGAGGTATCTTTCACTCACAAGCCCAAAAGAAGCAAGACATAACAACAAAAAAGTCAGGCTGACCGTTTTCTTTGACTCCTATAGGGAGGTGTATCACACTGCACTCCACAATGTTTAAACAATTACCAAAGAGGTCTTCTGTTGTCTTCCTTTTGTTCAAGTAATACAAATAGCTGGCCCTCTGTTCAACAGGAACTTGGCAGTTCCATAATGACAATGCTCTCACCCATTCTTCAAGTTTTCCTTAGCCAAGCGCAACATTTCTTTCATTGTCAGGAAATGGAACTGTCATAAAGGGGCCATATTTTCCCAGGCTTATTTATCTTCTAACCCAACTATTTAGACACAAATGAATTCTAGAAACATCCTATCATGTAGCCATGTGTGACGAATGCTATACGTGTGAGTTTTATTGATCAACCAATCCACAGTAAAGTTGAAAAAATTAGAATGTCATCCTTACCAACTTCTAAACTAGTAGCACATTTGTGAGCAAGACAGCAGAAGGTAAACATCCAAAAGGTTGAAACGAGTGAAAGTATGGAAAGAAATGTATTGCAAGCCCCATGTTGAGACTGACATGGCCAAAAGCATCTAGCATGCATCTGTATACATAGAATCCAGCAACTGGTGAATAAACCCTCTGCAACACAATGAAGCAATACTGAAATCTGAAAAGATGGCCTCCTGAAAATGTGGTAACATTTAATCAAGAAAATCTGAGGTTTGAGGTTTTGAACGATGGATCAACATCATGGCACGTGGGTAGTAACCCATAAATGCTCTGTTCTTTTAACTCAAGTCTGAGTCCAAAAAAGCTAAGCACAGTGCACAGGCTCTGTAGCACCGGTGAGGATCCTGAAATACTTTGGGTATATTTTTAACTCAAAATTTTGTCTGGGCAGCACTGTAAGGCTACCTTTTTTTATTTCCAACTGCCAAGGAATTTTTTTACCAGCACAACAATGCACACGGGTGTCTGATCTCACTACCCAGAGACCAGGGGTAATTACTAGAAGTCAAGAAAATATGAAGGACTGTAGGATAAAAATGAAGTCAAGGTAATGTGAAGATCTGAAGAAATGATATTCCAATGCAGCACTGCAATAGTTGGTCAATGAAGAAAGCATTAGGATATATTTTATAGGGTAAAATTTGTTGGTAGGATAATAAACAGAATGTAACAAATAATAACTAAATTTTGCAATTCAACATGTTTTTAAAAAAAATTAAAAATTGATAAAGAATATTCACCTGAACCAAGAAAAATATTCATCCATTAAAAATCACATACATTTGATTAAAAGTAACACTTTTTTTTTAAATCCTGAGAAAATATTTGAATAATGTGTCTATGAAAGAGTGAAGGAATACCTTCATGTTTAAGTTTCCTGGGGGCAGTAGGTTGATAGTGAGGACACCCCAGTTAGACACTAAGCCCACGGCATGTCTGTATAAACAATAAGACTTATGATAATCTGCTAACTCCTCACTTCATGACTAAAGAACTCTGTACCCTATTTTCTTGGAACATTTCCCTAGACATATTTATTTAGTCATTCAAGCCACTGATTCAGAAGTTCTTCTCTCTTTTTAAATTTAATATCATCAATGGGTCAAGTAGAAAGCAATTGATGTCACACTGGTGGCACAGGATTTAAAGAAAGTGAAATATCACAGTATGTGTACATAGTTTATTTTATTTAATACATGCAAGCAAACGTTTCCGAAAAACAAAAACGCAAGTTCTTCTTTCATGCACATTATGACAGGAACCCAGTTAACTCTTTCAGTACAAGGAGGTTTAGCATTAGAAGATCAAGATGTGGTAATAAAATTCTTTGAATTTCAAAAGTGTAACACTTTAAAACAGATCATGTGAATTTGGCTGCTGTGCAGTATACACATTTTAAGCATCAGAATGAAGAGGGAATGTTAAGTAATAATACTAGAATACTGCTGCAACCAATAATTGTGTTAGTGATTACATACCAGTCAATAAAGAGATTACCCGTTTAATGATATTATTAAAAATGATATATAGTTTTTCTGCTTACCATCATGGGAACTCGATAAAATATATGCGAAAAAGAATTACAAAGGAGCATGATCCAGTTAGTATGTAAATACAATTTTCATGCAATCTGTACATTAGATCTCGTTCCAGAGAAATGTTTGGAGCATCATGACTCGGCATCATTAAAGTGGTCCTCCCCCCCACCCCCCCAAAAAAAAAAAACTTTCTAAAACGATTAGTATCTTTACACAAATATAACCTTGTTTAGGAGTCAAAGTGTCCCTAATTTTGCAGCTATTTTTTGAAATAATAAAAAAAATATCACTAGAACTACTGGAAAAAGTGCTGTTTTACTAATATTTCACCTCCTTGTACCAGCAGACTTTGACTTTTTTAGTTAACTCAAGTCTGAAGTTACAGCTTCTTGAACAGAGCTCGGGTGTAGGAAATGTAGGACTGAAAAGAATCCTGGAAACAACAGCAAACAAATATTGCTAACATTTATAAGGTTATGATAAATAAATTCACTTACGCAATATTTATCTCCCACATATGCACTGCAAAATCTGGACCACCGGCTGTGAACAGATATGCCCCATCAAAGCTGCATGCTAGATTTGACACCTGAGAAAGAAAACAGTTTAACTGATTTCATCACATTTTGGGTGGGTGGGGGGTGTAAAAGCATCCCGGACTGAGCTGCTAATTTTTTTGAACAGCAAATGTCCAAGAGTGAAAATTATTATGAAACATTAGGAACACACACTGGCAGTAGTCACTTAACTCTTTGAGTCCCAAGGAACGCATCATGCGTTCATAGGTTCCCGCTTATAGGCCCAATGAATAAAGATGCGCTGATTTTACATCTCTTTTGACTACCCCTTGGGCCTCTGATGCTAAACCCCCTGGGACTCAAAGAGTTAAAAAGCTAGATATCTGTCATCCTCTATGACCAAATGTAAAAAGTAAGAGAACAAGTTGTTTATCTACCCTAGATTTATCCTAGATATTAAAATTTACTTGTTTATGAATGGCTATACTTCAACCAAAAGAGCCATCACATATAATGTATGACTTGGCTGAACATTGTGTATGTCAGTGTGTATTGTGTGTGTCAGTGTGTGTTGTATATTTCAGTGTGTGTTGTATATTTCAGTGTGTGTTGTATATTTCAGTGTGTGTTGTATATTTCAGTGTGTGTTGTTTATGTCAGTAGGTGACATCCATACCATATTTTAAAACAGACAATACATATTATATACAGTATTAACTAACAGGAAGATGGTAAATCTGCATTCTTTCTCACTAAAAAAAAACCTGTTTAACTAACCCCTGTTGGATGAGCAATCAGTGCCATTGCCAAATGAGGATTGCCAGTTGCTGGCAAGAAATGGAGTCCCACTTTATCATCTGTGATGTAAGCCATGAATCTATTTTCACCTTCATTCTCAACTGTTGGGACAATCATCATCCTAGATAAAAATTATAAAAGCATAAGATAAAATTTAGGACAGCAAAATTAATTCAATTAGCAGCTTATTGACATCTGTTCCCATAACATTTTTTTTTTAACAATGCTCACACATGTTTATTGTATTATGAAGCAAAACACAATACAGTGCAAACACAAAAATTAGACATATAGTCCAATACAGCTTAGGCCTGCCTCCATTTCTTGGCTTGAATCTCAGATACCTTTATCTTAATCTATAAAATATTTTGAATGAAATATTTCAACTCTGTTATTATTACTGTAAGATTACATCCCACATAGCCAGGAACAGGTATATTATTGTGAACAGAGAAATCATGAGTCTGAACCTATATCATGATATACTTAATCAAATACTTAAACTGCAATAATGAAAGACAAAGGAAATTAGCTAATGATGTAATGTGACAGCTAAAGTGTGTGCTTTCCTTTATTACCAATACATTTTTTGTAAACAACTAAAGTATTTGACATTCTCACTTTCTTATAGGAGATCCATATGTAGGACCAAGCACTGTCTTTCTGCACATTTTTGTTGTGGTGTTGTAACATTTGAGTTTGAACTGCAAGAGACAAAATCAAAATATATATCAGTGTGTCATTTTATACCAACTCAATAAAAATGATATTTGGGAAGTGTATTTCTATCCATTCTATTTAAACCTGTTATTCATTTTCTTCTTCATACGCCTTTAGATGTCAGCCTAAATATAGTTAGTTCCATCGTTAAATGGCAGTTGTTTAATCCTGTCACCCAGGAAATCCACTTTTCAGGCATTTACTGATTTTTCATGAGATGGTGCCTTGTGCAGTGGCCTTCTTCTTCTTCTTCTTCTTCTTCTCTTCCACCTTGTACCTCATCGAAGTGTCGGGGGGAGATGTAATGTTCGTTGATGAGCTCTGTCAAGAGCACTATTAAGACTGATGTTCATTTCTGTAAGGCTGTTCTTAATGCCATCACTCCATCTTTTCCGAGGTCTTCCACTCGCTTTATACCCGTTGTAACGTTTTAGTGTGGCTCGCTGTGGCAGATAGTACCAGGGCATTCTTGTTAGGTGTCCAAACCATTTCATTTTTTGTTCTTTGATGACCTGTAAGACTGGCTTTATTCCTAGCATTCGTCTGATTTCATGATTTTGTATTCTGTCTTTCCTTGAAACTCCTGCAGCTCTTCTAAGGCATTTCATCTCTGTTGTCACAATTTTACGTTCATTGGAGGATGTAAGTGTCCACGTTTGGCACTGATAGCATAGTATTGGCCAAAAAATAGTTCTGATAAGATTCACTTTAGTACTCTGAGGTATCTGCTTGTGTGTCAACAGGGGAGATAGTTGGCCACCATAGTTGCAGTGGCCACCATGCCAATATAACTGCTTACTACTGGCTGCCACTACATAGTGTACAGACGTGGTGGGAATGATTATATTTCATTTAAAAACATTTTATTATGAAATATTTGGGTGAAATCGTCTTTTTCATTAAAACATTGTGACATCACAATTGCTTCATTATGATGTCACTTTGCTCCACATTACAGTCAACAAAATCAATTTCTCATAGTCAAAGGGAGAGAAAGCAGTTTATTCTCAGTTTTGTTTGTATGTAATGATTACCTTCCACCACATAAATCTAAACTGGTAAAAGTAGTGATGGGAGGACAGATTTTACTGTTAAGGTGGTGATGCTATGGTTGTGGCCAGCAAGCTTTCTTATCTACTAGGTGGTCACAGGTTTGAACCTCCTGGACCAATTACAGAGCAGAGGCAGATGCACTTCTGGTGGCATGTTTTTCCCTGAACTGACAACAGTATAGCAAATATAGCACAATTGTCTTTCTGACTGATGCTATGTCAGTTCTACAAGCAATTGTTAACCCAAAAGACAGTTTGTAGACTTGATCCAACAGCTGATTCACTTAGGTTCTTCATTAGAACAGTCTGTAGTGCACTGGATTCCAGGTGACTGTGGCTTGGAAGACAATTAAATAGTGGGCGGACTGGCCAGAAGTGGCACTAACAGGGTGCAAACAAACAGTGTCTTAACCCACCAAAAAGCTAAGACATCAATCTAGTATCCAAGACAATTGGCTGGATATGCACACCAAATTTTCACTTCAAGGCTGGCTTCATTGCCTCTTTAAAGAGGGAGAATGTGTTATATTTAGACTTCATCAACATATGTTCAAATGTTTCAGTGAAAGAAAAAATGGAGATGTATCCCTACAGCCTGGCACCAGAAAATGCTGAGCATGTGCTCCAACATAAGCATGATGTAAGAGTTGACTAATTTGGAGCTTCCTTAAAAGTTGGAGAGCATCTGCCCAAGTAATAATGAGCAACCAACTGCACAAAAATAAGCCAGTAAAATGGATGTACATGCAAAACTCAGGTCCTGGCACAAAGCCCCAAATCCAAATGGATGAACAACCAGGACTTTCCACTGGAGCTTACAGTCGTAAACAAAGAAGAAGAAGAAGAAGAAGAAATACGCTGTGTAAAATCTTACCTGATCATTTGCTGTAAGAAAGAAATGTTCCTTGCCAATTGGTGGGTACTTTGTCATGCACAGTGGAATAGCACCTTGTTCTATTCTGTCTTCTGCACACGGCACCACATGATTATTAGTCTTTCCAAAATGATGAAGGTCATATTCAATCTAAATATGAACATTCTGAATGAATATTCTGCCATGAACAACAGATTAAAAATAACTTTAAAAAAAAAAAAAATTACAACATAAACACCAGACCATTTGACCCTTGCAGATACTGGATTTGGTGTGAATTGTTAGAACTGAAAAAAAAATATTCTTAGTGACACCATAGTGAGCCATAAGGTTTTCCCTTCCTCCTCTCTTTCTCTCATATGTACTTGTTTATTAGAATAGTATATGTGCCAAAAAATGGAATCGGTGTGGCTCTGAGCTCCAAAAGGTTTTAATACTGATTGTACACGTTCGTAAATGCAGGCTGTTCTAATCCTTCACACAGCACAGAGTTTTACCCTAGCAGAAGCCTCGACAATATAAGCCTGTATAGAGTATAGAGACTGCTTTGCCAATTGAACCTCTTTCTATAAAAGTTCTCCCAGCAGAAATCATCAATGGTAGGCGTAAGGACTTATTCAGTCTTAAAAAAGATATGAAAACCCTACTGAATTGCAACATCTGACAAATGTTTCAGCCAGACTGACCATTATCAGTCTGTTAAATTATTTTAGCTAGGCTTAGAAATATCATATATTTTTATAATAAAATTATAACAATCTTTTCAAGCAAATAGAACACTGGATATTGAATTAGATTTTCAAGATTTTTTTATTAAGCGGTTTATTAATTTAGCTTTACTATAAACAGTATATAAATTAAGACAATCACATGCAGAAATATATACACACAAAATGTAAACTCACTATATTTAAAATATTAATTTTCAATAGTATAAACCATCAAGGCTAAGTATGAGAAGTGGATCTATTGGCATCAATCAAAACACAGCATTACAGTGATTAAAGCATTAAGGAGTTTACAGCCTGTATCACAACAATCTATAAAAGTCCTGCATATGATGAACAGAAAGCTCAGCATATGGAGACAGAGCTAAGCAATCAAGTACAGGAAATGACAGTTCCAAGTAAGCCCAGAAGGAGAGAATCAGGTGTCAGCTCTGTACTAGTGTGACCCTCTTGGATGACACAGAATGCCCACATGTTACCCCACTCTTCCCTAGAGTGACAGTCAGCATGTTCTGTGTGGTTTTTTAAGTACACCTTTCTTATGGATAGAACACACACCACCACAATGAGACAAAGGAAGGTCTTATAAAGCTACCCAGTAAAGTTATCCACATCAACAAGTGATGGGGAAAAGATATGTAAGCCATAAAATGCAAATATTTTGCCTCCGTTGTTGAAACAAAAATTTAAAAAACTAAACACAAACACTGAAATCATTTTAACTCTTTGAGTCCTAGGGGGTTTAGCATCACAGGCCCAGAGGGTAGTAAAGATAGTCAAAAAATCGGCACATCTTGCCTTCATTGGGCTTCTAGGTAGGAACCTATAAACGTATGATGCGTTTCTTGGGACTCAAAGAGTTAAAGAATAACATACAAATGAAGAAGCAAACCACCAACCAGCATCCTGTCCTCTCCCAGGGACAGCAGTTTAGGATCATTTGTGTCCAAGTGAACATCAAAGAGGAGATCCTTAATTGGCTTGTAGTGAGATCTGTAGCGACCATGCCAGACATATGGATTACGTCCCTCTTTTCGCTGTCTCTTGTAGACTGTGATGGTAAAACCTGCATCCTGATGTGAAAAATGTTTTCAAATAATAAATTTAGTTTTCATGAATTATTCCTGTCATCTTATAATCCATATTTTATACACAGGTGATGAAAATAAGGGTGCCTGCAACCGAGTTAGTATAACAAAATGAATTTACTGAACACTGACAAGGAAGCACTACAAAGAAGGGAAAGCAACAACAACAAAAAATGTTTCAGCATGAGCCTTTATCAACGGACCTAACAATAAAGGCTAATCCTAGACACCAGTCCATACATGGAAGTCACATGAATAACTGTAACCTAATATGAACATAGGAAGAAAAAACAATATTTTCCTAGCTCAATGAATTCATTTTCTAACATTTTATTGTTATGACTAAAAATTTCAATATTTTACTTTATTGCTTTCTGCTTTTTTTTTTTTTTAATCTTTCTGATACAAAAGGAAATAAGGCTCTCCTTCAAACTTTGACCCCATATTATGGCTGTTAAACAAATACCCTAACAGGGCTTCAGTCATGTGCAAAATGTGGAGTCCCTGCCGAGGAACTAATCGCTGCAAAATTAGGATCACCTCCAAATAAAGGGTCAATATTAAAGAGGGCAAACAAATACTCTAACAGAGTCTCAGCGATATGTTAATTGCAGACCTGTTTCTGCGACTATGCCACACCGCCGACAATATGCCCCGTGTCGCCACGTGCGGCGCGGCGCTGATTGGGGGCTAAACTAGATGGCTGGGACTCATGAGCAAATAAATTGGAGGAAGTTGCAGGAGATGCGGTAGCTGCTGCTCGTGAGTCCCAGCCATCTACTTTAGCCTCCAATCGTATATGCTCAGTGATGAGTTTAATCGGATGAACACTATCGCTAACCTTTGTCAGAGTGCATGGTCTACCCGCCATGTCGCTATTATCGTGTGGTATTGTTGCATTTCTCGAGAGTGTCAATGGACAGTAATCCTAGTTTGCCGTGATGTGTTCATCGGAGGAAGTCCACATTTTGCTTATGACTGAGGCTCTGTTAGGGTATTTGTTTGGCCTCCATAATATGAGGACACAGATCGAAGGAGAGCCGGAAATAATAATCATATTTAATACACAACTTTGAATGAATATAACAATCAACATCTGTGAAAAGTCTCATGCAGTAAACAGAAGAAGAACTGTATCACTGCTACATTTAGACTGACTGACTGCAATTTGTGGTTTTTGTTGGCTCAAAAAGAGATGAAATCAATCTGATTAGCCTACCAAGGAGCTGGTTTATATAAACACACTGGCTGGCACTCAATGAGTAATAGGTCAACATCGTACTGGCTGCCTTTACTTCCAGTGTCATTCCCTGTTACACAAATCTGGGAGCTAAGGTCAACTATAAAAATCTGACTCCATGTGGACTGGATGACAAGACTTTTGAGTCAATAAGGCTAGCATCTAGCCACTGCACTACTGCAGGTTTCATTGGTATATACAAAAATCCAATTGTCTGAACGCGGTTTCTGGGACCTCTCCACAGTGATCCTCATCCACATGGTGGCACTTTGTGTCATCGGGTGTTTATCGCTTGTAAGATGTCCTGGTGGGGTGGAAAGTATACAAAAAATAACAATAATGGCATCACAATGATGGAAACGTTGCAGGTACTATTAGAATAACAACAATGACATCATAATGATGGAACTGGTGCAGGTACAGTCATAATAACAATAACGGCATCATAATAAAGGAAATGGTGCAGGTATGGTTATACAAGAGAAAAAGCTAGTACTAACTGCTGTTGCCAAGTATGTGGAATTGTGAGAGAAAGCTATATGTGTGATGGCATCATGTGCATATTTGTAAGCATCATTGATCTGATTCAAGAGTGCCACAGAGTCCACCAAGTACACAACCCCATTGGTACAACCCACAGCTGGAAAAAAGAAAAATCAATAATATATAAATGAAGAGAGCATTACCAATTACTGACTACTTTTAATTATTTTGGTATACACTATGGTTAATAGTGCCGATTGGTCTGTAAAAATATGAATGCTCTTCTCATATGCCCGATGCGCCCAAGGGCGTGAAAAGGGATCTTTACTTTGCTTTATGGTTAATGGCAAAAGTGGAAGTTGCTGCATATGATGATTATGATGAGGACATCTTGGGGAAAAAAAAAGCTAATCAAACATCATTAGTGGCCTGGTATTTCCAGTCACAGGTGTGAGGGAAAGTTAAGGCCATAAAGAGATACTCCGTACCTCTACTTGGGCGCCTTCCGGCTCTATGCTGATTTTACAGAACCTTATGCAAGACTCTTGTCACACATCCTCATTGGGAGCCATGGATAATGTCTCGTATGAGCTGACAGGGGATCTCAGAGTTGGTGGCACCCAGAGATGCAGTGCCCCGAAATCCTCTGGCTTTCATCAGCCCACCCCCAACGCATTGGTGAAAATGTATCTCAAAACTCGTTAGGAACAGGAGTAATACCCGCTCACCAAAAACATAACAAAATGACAACTCTTTGTTAAAATGTTTGTTGCGTGAAAGAACAACTGAGCTGCTGAGACTCTTGCCCTAAAGCAAGAGATTTGCTCGCAACTTAGACGAGCAACATCTCCTATGTACAGTATCTCCGTTACAGTTATGTCCACACACATTCAGGTTGAACATCATCATATTGAGGCAAACAACAGCCTGCCACTGTGAGCCAGCTGATCAGTCTAAAATGTCTGTCAGGTATCTAGCCTATGACAAAACAGCAAAGTCTCAAATGTCTGTCAGGTATCTACCCTTTGGCAAAACAGAAACATCTCAAATGTCTGTCAGGTATATACCCTTTGGCAAAACAGAAACAACTCAAATGTCTGTCAGGTATATACCCTATGGCATAACAGCAGCATCTCAAATGTCTGTCAGGTATATACCCTATGGCATAACAGCAATGTCTCAAATGTCTGTCAGGTATATACCCTTTGGCAAAACAGAAACATCTCAAATGTCTGTCAGGTATCTACCCTTTGGCAAAACAGCAAAGTCTCAAATGTCTGTCAGGTATCTACCCTTTGGCAAAACAGAAACATCTCAAATGTCTGTCAGGTATCTACCCTATGGCATAACAGCAAAGTCTCAAATGTCTGTCAGGTATATACCCTATGACATAACAGCAGCATCTCAAATGTCTGTCAGGTATATACCCTATGGCAAAAAAGCAAAGTCTAAAATGTCTGTCAGGTATCTACCCTTAGGCAAAACAGCAGCATCTCAAATATCCCACTGCAAAAGTCCTACTAAATAGCAGAAATGTTCAAATGTCAGCTAGCACTGGCCACGCTCACCTGAGTGTCGGGACCCAACAGGAGAAGCCTAATGCATACCCTTCCAACACTATAACAAGAAATGTCCAGATGAAACAACGTCAAAGGTGTCTATCGCGTTGAAGAAGAATGTACCTATTTGTGTGGTCACCAAAGTTCCAGATCTGCAGGCTGTCCCCCCTGCTGATCTCTGAAGGGCACCCCCAACCCCCCCCCCCCTCTTCCATGACAAGTGGACAGCGTAACATATGGATGTAAAGTTAAACAGGCACATGCAGGATGTGACAATTTCTTAGGTGAGCCCATGACCAGAGTAGTATGTGTTGGCTCTGCATTTATGGAAGCCTCCTTAGATGGCGGGGAATGCCCATGATCTGCCCCTGACTTCCACGAGGGCCAACCAGTCTACATGAGGTTGGCCTGGATGGATTCTCCAGGAGTAACACCTGTAGAGAAGGGGATAGAGAAAACACTACACAAATAAGGCCACAAAATATCCCTGTCCCACCAAACTATCTGTGAAGTTAGCCTGGTCAACAAATGCTCAATGAAGTCAGATGTGTCAGTAGAAAAGCACAAATATTGTAGATTTGCTGTAAACAGGCACAAAACAATTTACACAACTTATGTCACTTGGACAAACAAACAAAAAAAGAAGAAGAAACATCATTAGTTATTTCTTTCATATCTGCTAATGATAGCCATTTTGCATAATAAAAATATGTGTCAATGAATGTTTTCTATGCTAGACTGTTTCTTTGTCTCTCTGATATCCTGTTCATAGACACTGTTGAATCATTAATACACTTGTGTGGTTATGATATTGTTCAACCTGCCTTAGCATTTGTGTAGCTATAAGACTCTGATACTGTTCAACTTGTGATGTCAGTTGTGTAGTTATGTGACTCTCACACTGTTGAACTTGTGATATCAGTGTGTAGTTATGTCAGTCTGATACTGTTCAACTTGTGAAGTCAGTTATGTAGTTATGTCACTCTGATACTGTTCAACTTGTGAAGTCAGTTATGTAGTTATGTGACTCTGATACTGTTCAGCTTGTGAAGTCAGTTATGTAGTTATGTGACTCTGATACTATTCAGCTTGTGAAGTCAGTTATGTAGTTATGTGACTCTGATACTGTTCAGCTTGTGAAGTCAGTTATGTAGTTATGTGACTCTGATACTGTTCAACTTGTGATATCAATTGTGTAGTTATGTCACTCTGATATTGTTCAACTTGTGAAGTCAGTTGTGTAGTTATGTGATTCTAATACAGTTCAACTTGTGATGCTAATTGTGTGATTATGTTGTTTCAAAATAGTTGACAACAAGAAAGTTAGCAGGCAATTCCTCACCAATTAAAAATCCCTTTGGATCAAAGGCCACACACTGAATATGGCACTTCTCAAACATTCTGGAAGCAATGACTTCTCTGTGATAAAAATATAGAAACAAATGCTGAAACTACCAGACTGCTAGCATTAAAAAGTTCAGCATCAGTTAAGCATTGCAGTTATTTGTATATTTGGCAGGATCAATGGGAGTTTGTAAGACATTTATAAAAGCTTATTGTCCCACCACTGGCACACCAGGTAAATGCTGCTGGATCCTTACTGTTCAAGACTAATCCACACTTGATGTGCTCAACATCCTGCCAAGTTGCCTTTGCTTCCCAAAATATTTTTGGTGCCTATTTTATGCTGAGTTAATCTGAGAGCCCTAAGTCAGTGAAAACAAAATCCAGTGTAAACAATCATGACAACACATATTTTAAGTGACATCAGCTCATAAATCACATGCGATTTTCTTGTTTCATGGGATTTCTGTCTTTTTCAGTTCTCTTAGATATTTACATGTTCAAGTTATTTTTAGCATTAAAGATTATGCTTTAATGGTGCTGTTGTAATATGTAATTATCAATGGATCATCATTTAAAAGTATTGGGGGTGTTTTTAACAAGGAAAAAAAATTAATAAAACAATGAGTTTATGAAATTGTATTCAATCTGCTAGTCATTACTGAGCCCTAATGCTGCCTCAGTGCCCTTTAAGAGTTCAGAGACAAAGAAATTAGCTAGACTTTAAAAATGGGAAATGTTTTGAAAGACATACTTAACATATATTTCATATTAACTCTTTGATTCCTAAGGAATGCATCACGTGCTAACTGGTTACAACCAAACGGCTCAATTGGCACTTAACAAGTGAAGGATTTTAATTTACAACTGACCAGGAATAGAATGTGCACCACTCAATCTGAACATCCATTCAAGTTCCTTGTGTTTGATATTAGATGTGCTGACCATCAGAATGGTTTGGAAACATGGTTAAAAGCATAAAATATAGTATATTGTGGTTATATTGTGGTTAAATATAGTATAGATGTGTTTCTGAGGCGAATGTTACGAATATCTTAGCTAGAGCTACTAACAATGATCATTTAAAAGAAGCTAGTGAAATTATAGACCTCTATATACAACAACAACAAAAAGAGACAAGCACTGTTCTTTGGTCACATAATGAGAAGAGAGACATTGGAGAACATTGTGACAACTGGAAAGATCAGTGGGAAAAGGGGTAGAGGCAGACTAAGAGAGATGATGCTAGATGGGCTGAAACGATGGCATGGAGGGATATCAGGATATCATCATGACAGCTGTTCCAGGCAACCAGGGATCGTGATCTGTGGAGAAGCATGAGCGCCTACGCCAGTTGGCAGGGCAAATGATGATGATGATAGCATATCTGCAAGGTTTACAGAGTTAATATTTGTTTGTTTGAAAACAATGTGGTCACCGAGCAGTATTCTACATGTATGCCAATATGATTTATGGCTTTAGAAGCCTCACATTTAAATAAAGCACATGTTTATTAGATTTATCCTAAGTTAGATAGATAACATTGTGAAATAGACTTGTTTCAGTCATTTATAGAGTCAAACTTTAATGAGGGATAGCTCTTATGTATATCCTTTACATAAAGAGTTCAACCATAGCAAAGTCAGCTGGCACAGATAGAAAAAATATTAGTGAAAATGTGATTTTCTTCAGTGTTAGTTAGTTCAAGTGCTATTCACCTTATTAATTAGGAACATAGCTACAAAGTACAGGCAAACTGAGTGTTATATACACTTTGTTAGACCTGTTCACATTTAAAGGGATATGATTAGAGTAACTTTCCTTGCCATTTATGCCTCCTTAGGTCACTGGACCTCTCCTATGTTGTGGGGGTGCTATGATATGGCTTGGTTTGTATGTAATGTTTGTAGGAGGTTGTGTTGTTGTGAGTCTATTTCAGGCACGACAGGCACCTGTGTACAAGTAAGGATATATTTTAGGAAGTTTTTCTAAGGTGGTAAATGGACAAATTAGCATTTCATTCTACTAATTTCTGTAAACATACTGTCTGTTTATTTACTAATAATCAACAACTAGTGCAATAATTTACTGTAGTAGTATTCTATTATTATTCCCCCACAATCTCTGGTCACTCTAATGTATAATATGTGTATGTTTCATGGCAGCTGAATTAGTAAAATATGTTTTAAGGTGTTACACATGTGAAATAAAAAAAAATTGCATTACCACCCCTTGGGCCTCCGATACTAAACCCCCTGGGCCTCAAAGGTAGGTAGGTAGTTGCACCCCGCCAGGACATCACACAAGTGATAAACACCCAGTGACATAAAGTGCCACCATGCGGATGAGGATCACCCGTGGAGAGGTCCCAAAAACCTCCTTTCAGTCGCTAGGCCATATCTATGGCTAGGCCATATTTATGACCAGGCAATATTCAGGGCCCCCAGCTTAAGCCAGGGTGGGGCTTCAAAATTTAAAACAACTGCATCCCACATTGGGATGACTGCTTAAATATAATTGTACTTTAGGGACTCAAAGAGTTAACTGACAATCAAAACACTTACTTAGTTCTATAATTCCAAAGTTTCAGTAAACCTGAATAGCTTCCAATGGCAACAACAGGTCTGCAAACAGAAAGTGCAAAATAAGAAAATAATTCAAAGAAATAAATGGTGTTACCAAACAAGATGAAATGAGGCTCTTCCATTAAAATGAGTATAATGCGAAGACAGAAAGGCAAAATGTGTCTTGATTGTAGATTTGTGTCCCTTAAATTAGAAATAGTCAATCCACAATAGAGAATTACCAATAAGAATAATAAATGTGGAGGACATAGAAGAAGTTCAAGAAGACTGTAAACATTGGAGGGCGTAATGAAAGTGGTTGAGGCTATATGCTCCTTTAAAGGAGGGAAACTATTTAAAACTATACTGCACTTTCAAATACAGAGAACAAAACATGAATGATACTCACAGTCTCGGATGACAGTCCAGTGCATGCACGGCTGAATCATGTTCTCTGAGAATTACCTAATGAATATATGTAAAAATATATATTAATTTATATATGTTGTTTATAAACAGAGAGCAGATAATGAGATCATTAAACAAATATATTGACAAGAGAGTCTGGACAAGGTCGTGACATCCAGAAAGTCATAAGGTGTCAGAAAAACAGATGGAGAAAATGCTGACTTGAATGAAGAACGTCTGGAAAATATAGTAGTCAAATGTATCAAGACAACAAGAGACATATGTCTGAAGAAGGAAACAACTGCTGCAAGGCTCAGCATGGCAACTGATGATATAGTAGAATAATCCAGAAGCTGCAGTTTGTACAAATAATATTTGACGAATTTAGCTATGAGAAACACATGTCAGAGAGATCTATAGATAATTATTACTATTCTTCATTCAGCAATTTAAACGCTAATCAATGAAACTGATGACTATCAAGTAGTTAGTTTACAATTTATGCGACAATGTTATTGCTTGCCTTCTTCTTCTTCTTCTTCTTCTTCTTCTTCTTCTTCTTCTTCTTCTTCTTCTTCTTCTTCTTCTTCTTCTTCTTCTTCTTCTTCTTCTTCTTCGTCTTCTTCTTCTTCTTCTTCGATCCTTCTGTCAGAAAACTTATATCAGAAGGCTGGTAGCCTTTATTGTGCAGTCCATATCCTCTCGTGTACCATACAACTTTGTCTTCATTGTGGTTGGAACAGGCCAGACTGCGTCTCTGTTGTCAGCATACAGTTGACAGTGTCGGAGCACATGCTCAGCATTTTCTGGTGCCACACTGCAGGGACTTGTCTCTGTATTTCCTACATTGAAAAATTTGAACATATGTTGACGAAATCTGTTGTGCTTGTCATAATCTTAGTCCATATCAAATAAGAAGGCAATAAAAAAAAACCACATTTGTTCTTGCATTTTCAAACTCAGTTAAAAGAAAGATATGCATAAAAGCTATACTTTAACAAGCAGCACACATACAAAAAAGGAATGCTTCTTACCTTTAGCTTAGTTCCATCTGTAACAACACTACAGTAGACAGCAATGGCTGTTCCAACAATAAAATCTCGAACAATAAATGGTTTGGCCTGCTTGGTTGCATCAGATGGAAAATCGCTGCCTTCACGAGCTCTGTAAATGAAACTCAAAAGAACTAGACTATTTCAAGGCTACTAAACATTTTGAGATTTTGTAAATTTCTAAAAAGGAAGATGTTTATATTTCAGAAATAAATAACTAAGAAACACTGTTAGTTTCAGTGGCAAATTCAGAATGAAAAATTATAGCTTTACAAATATCAGAGTGAGTGAGTGACTTTCTACCCCACTAGGACATTACACAAGCGATAAACACCCGATGACACAATGTGCCACCATGTGGATGAGGATCACCGTGGAGAGGTCCCAGAAACCGCGTTCAGACATTTGGCCATTTTTATGGCCTGCCTATATTGCGGCCCCTGGCAAAAGCCAGAGTGGGGCTTCAAATAACAGAAAATTACGTCCTGAGAAAGACGTAAGGATTGAATAGTAATTAATATCAGAGGCACTGAGCCTTGAATTGAACTTACACATGCACGCACATTTTTTATGTTAAAAACATTTTTTAAATAATGTAGTCACCCCTCAGAGTAATGACACCTGATAGGGCTTACCCTCACTGTACGCCTCTTGTTACACCTCTGCGTGGGACACTCCTATAAGCACTTCATCCTCATCTTCAGCAGCCAGCGAAGAGTTCCAATTTAAATGGTGCCAGCAGCAGTTTGACTGTATGTCCATCTTGCCTTTCCTCTGAGTGAAGACTTGTCAACCAGATCCCCTGGTCACTCCTAGCTCTCCAGATCATAATTGCCCTGGTCACTCCTAGCTCTCCAGATCATAATTCCCCTGGTCACTCCTAGCTCTCCAGGTCATAGTTCCCCTGGTCACTCCTAGCTCTCCAGATCATAATTCCCCTGGTCACTCCTAGCTCTCCAGATCATAATTCCCCTGGTCACTCCTAGCTCTCCAGATCATAATTCCCCTGGTCACTCCTAGCTCTCCAGATCATAATTCCCCTGGTCACTCCTAGCTCTCCAGATCATAATTCCCCTGGTCACTCCTAGCTCTCCAGGTCATAGTTCCCCTGGTCACTCCTAGCTCTCCAGATCATAATTCCCCTGGTCACTCCTAGCTCTCCAGATCATAATTCCCCTGGTCACTCCTAGCTCTCCAGGTCATAGTTATCTGTTCAGCAGGAAAGTCATAACATCATTCACCCCCCCTCCTCCACCCCACCCCCCCCCCCTTCCCTAATCCTCTTTGAGGTGAGATACAGTGTAGTATTTCCTGCAGTACAACTGCTCTAACTTTTCTTCATGTGTGTGGCCAAAGTCACAATGCCACACATGCTGACAGGGAAATATTTACGCATAAAAATAATAATATAGAAACATAAAAAATAATACATTTGAAGTGTCTAAAATAGTGTAGTCATTAATGTTTTGAAGGAAGCTAAGAACATAATTAAATCACAAATTTAAAAAAAAAAAAAAAAAGGCAGTGATCATTTTTAAGTACATTATAAGAAGACACAAAAACACTGAGCCATGTTGTGACAAGTGGAAAGATGTATGGAAAGAGAGACAAATTAAGATAATAACAGACAATTTGTTACAGCCTTTTGTCATGGTAAAGTGTCAGCAAATGAACTGACACATGCTGTTGGAAATTGCAAGATGTGAGAGTAACAAGACTGCCAAAACCTATCAGTACGGTACTTGATATTGATGATGATGATGAGAAAGATGATGATGATAGCACTGTAATTTCAAACAGAACTTACTAAAATACTTTTGTTTTGACTATGGGAAAGTAAATAAAATGGTTTTTAAAATCTGATGAAAGTTAAACAAACATTAATACAATAAAAAGAGTTTAGGAATAATGCATGTCAATTGTTATAATTTATTTCTCAATAAAGCCAACATTTGATTTCAACAGTAAAAATAATGTAAAAATTTATACTCACTGCTTGGTTATGAAAAATGAGGTTTCAAATTTTTTTTAACATACAGAAAAATACCTACAGAAGACTTACACTGGAGAAAATTCTGGGTTGTATGCAAATGATACTGCTGTGCAAGGACCAGTGTGTAGATGCTGGTACCTGAATCAAAAATATAATTATATTGGAAACACAAAATCATTTCTGTAATCTTTTATCGGTGAACCATAGCTCCAACTTCATGGCTCAGGCTGTAGTTGCTTTATTCCTGTGCCAGAGTAAACCACACACAAAAACTATTCCTTGTGAAAAAAAATTAAACAGACCGCAGTCTCAGCAAAGCAAATCAATCGCATATGCACAACACAAAACCATGGTGGGCACAGTCAAAAAGCTTTCCAAATGAAATCTGCAGTACATAGTGTCATGCCAGGCATTCAGCACATTAGCTAGGTGACGAAACTATTATACTTTCAGTTCAAGGTGAAAATACAATAGCTAACCATGGCTAGAAGCAAATAACTTGCCACAACTAAAACAGTCGGCAAGCCTATCCACCATTTTGGATCAGAAGCTAACATCAGTTATATTACAAGTATACAGGTTTAATAGTTATTCAATCAGAGTTCAATTCTTTAACATTTTAAATATAGCAATCATCTTCAACTGTATTTATATAATATGCCTGTTGACATATGCAAACTGGTATTTTAAATTGACAACAATGGAAATGGGAGGCAAGAAAGTACAATAGCTAGCATGCTTGCCTGAAAGCCTGGTAGATATGTGTTTGATTGTTACTTGAGGTGAGAGTTTTTATAAAACTAACCTTGGCTCTAAGGTCAAGGCAATATAAAATAGGCACCAGGAAATGTTATGGAAAGTAAAAATGGTTGGTATGATCCAGTCCACATCACCCACCAAATTTTGATTGGTCTACACATATATCCAATCCTTATTTTACAGAAGAATGAAAAGAACATTGTGGACCAATAAAAGATGTCTCTAAATAAATAAACTCACAAAGAAGTCTTGTGACGGCATCAAAAGTGAACAATCCAGATTCCTGTAGGCATGTATAAACAAGAGGACAGATACAAAAAAATATTGTTCCCACTGGACAGTTGGAGGAGAAGAGATTCAGGGAGAGACAACAAAAATAAAAGAAAGAAGATAGAAGACAGTAGTTTCATAACATAGAGAAACATATTTATGTATAAAAGAGATCATTGGCCAAAAAAAGACAAAATAAGAAAGTAAATGGTTCTTGTTTTCCACCAGTGGCACATCAGGCTTATGATGCTAGCCACATATTGTTATAGACCAATCAGCACTCAGCATGAGATGTGGTCAACATCGTGCCAGGTGTCTTTATTTCCCAGGACCATTACCTGGTACCCATTTTAGGCTGGGTCGAACTGGGAGCCCACAAGACATAAGGCTGTGGACTAACATGACCACCAGATGCCCTTTTCTACACCTTCAGATGTATTGGGCATAGAGGACTAGTCCTATATTTTATAGATCCATTTTTGTGGTCAACATCATACCAGCCACCTTTACTTCCCAGGACATTACATTGGGTCAACCTGGGTGCTCTGGTCATTACAAAATAAGTCTCGCTCCATTTGGATTTGAGCCTTTGAATCTGTATGTGAGCACACAAGATGCATTATTGCATCCCAATAGTTGTTTGTATAATTCTGTCAAGCCTGCTAATATATCTTTCATCTGTTTGTAATAATCAATAGGATGAGTTTCCTCTGATCATGTCTTGTAGTTGTAACACTTATCTGTTTGCCTGGCAAAACTTCATTATAATCACTTTCATAGTACTCAAATGCAATAAACTGTGAAACAGTTTCAGCACACGACTAACTGCACATGACAACAGACAGCTAAATAAAAGTGCCAATACTGACCAGTAGATAAGTCGCAGGCCTTGGTCAAAGAACTTGATATGCCCAGCAGTATCACCGATTACAATTAAACTGTGAATTCAGAATATGTCAGTTAAAATATTAGTAAGTAAAGGACCCTTTTCCATACATTCAGGCATATTAGGCACAAACAGCTAGATCTATATTTTATAGACGAGTCGGCACTTATGGAGATGTGGTCGGCTTGATGCCGGTCACCTTTACTTTCCAAGACTTTACCTACTACCTATTTATGGCTGGGTCAACCAAGATCATTTCTGAAAAAAATTCTGGCTCTGTCAAGACCTGAACTCAAGATCTGCCAATATACAGGCAAGTGTCTAGTCGCTACACCAATATTCTATAATATCTGTGTGGTTATGTTATTTTGACAAAGTTCAAACTTTGATACCAGACACGTTATGATTCTCTTTAATCTTTGATACTAGATACTGTTCAAAAGAAATCAGCAGACTTTCCTAATCAGTGTAGAGAATTTGTTCTGAATTTTCTCTAACATGTTTTTCATATTATTCTTGTTGGTTAGTTTGATGGGACATTAGGGGACAATGTACAGCCTCATTAGTGTGGTGGCTGCATCTTCCATTAATCCACAGATGTTCTTAAAGGGCAGCCATGCACAGCCTGGTCAATCCTCAAAGGAAGACAGAGGCAGAACATGGAAATTCCCCTCCTTCCAAGGAGGCTTCCACAAATGCAAAGCAGATACATGGTACTCTGGTACTGGGTTGACCCAAGGAATCGTCACATCCTGCACATGACTGCGAAACCAAATATGAGTGTACTGATCTTCCCACTCATTATGGGCTGTGCCCTTTAGGATAAATGTAGATGAAGATCGGGGAACTGACAGAAACATTAAAATGTGAAAACAAAAGGCAGGAGGAGTTTTCATAGCACTAGAAAATCTATGGAAATCAAGTGAAATTGAAAGTAGAACTAAACTTTAAATGTTTAGCTCTAACATCAAATCAATATTGCTGTTTGGAGTGGAAACAGAAAGCAACTATAACAGTTACTAATAAACTGGAAACATTCATTTAACTGGTGCATGAGCAGAATAGAAGGAATTTAATGGTATGTAAAAAAAGGCCAGACCTATATTTTTATAGAAAAATTTGCCCAAGATGAGTGATGTGGTCAGTGTCACGCCAGCTGCCTTTACTTCCTGGGACTGCACCCGGTACCCACTCAAGGCTGGGTCGACCTAGGAGTCAAGGTAATTTTTTTTAAAGAGTCCGGCTCCGCCAGGGAGCAAACCGACGACCTTCCGATCCGCACGAGAGGGTCTAGAAAAGATATGATAGAATCATTAAGGTCTAGTTCATCAAGAGGTGAATAAAAGACACCGGTGCTGGATAGGACATTTGTTGAGAACAATATGACTAGAAAGTCTTTAAACTGGAACCAGTTAGGTCATAGAAATACAGGCAAACACCCCCCCCCCCCCCACCCTTTCCTCATTAAAAAAAGTAGGGAAAGAAACAAGAGAGTGAAGTTAAAAAAGATAGAGAAAAATAAATTGAGCTGCATGCAAATGCAAAGGATAGAATGACTTGGCATGAGTTGGTTAAGGAACTTAAGGCACTTACTTATCTGTATAAGTTAGAGCATGATTCCTTTGTCAGGCACTTACTTATCTGTGTTAGTGAGAACATTGATTCCTTCATAAGGCACTTACTTATCTGTGTTAGTGAGAACATTGATTCCCTTGTCAGGCACTTACTTATCTGTGTTAGTGAGAACATTGATTCCTTTGTCAGGCACTTACTTATCTGTGTTAGTGAGAACACTGATTCCCTTGTCAGGCACTTACTTATCTGTGTTAGTGAGAACATTGATTCCCTTGTCAGGCACTTACTTATCTGTGTTAGTGAGAACACTGATTCCTTTGTCAGGCACTTACTTATCTGTGTTAGTGAGAACATTGATTCCTTTGTCAGGCACTTACTTATCTGTGTTAGTGAGAACATTAATTCCTTTGTCAGGCACTTACTTATCCGTGTTGGTGAGAACACTAGTTCCTTTGTCAGGCACTTACTTATCTGTGTTAGTGAGAACACTAGTTCCTTTGTCAGGCATTTACTTATCTGTGTTAGTGAGAACACTGATTCCCTTGTCATACACTTACTTATCTGTGTTAGTGAGAACATTGATTCCCTTGTCAGGCACTTACTTATCTGTGTTAGTGAGAACGCAGATTCCTTTGTCAGGCACTTACTTATCTGTGTTAGTGAGAACATTGATTCCCTTGTCAGGCACTTACTTATCTGTTTTAGTGAGAACATTGATTCCCTTGTCAGGCATTTACTTATCTGTGTTAGTGAGAACACTGATTTCCTTGTCAGGCACTTACTTATCTGTGTTAGTGAGAACATTGATTCCCTTGTCAGGCACTTACTTATCTGTGTTAGTGAGAACACTGATTCCCTTGTCAGGCACTTACTTATCTGTGTTAGTGAGGACATTGATTCCCTTGTCAGGCACTTACTTATCTGTGTTAGTGAGAACCCTGATTTCTTTGTCAGGCACTTACTTATCTGTGTTAGTGAGGACATTGATTCCTTTGTCAGGCACTTACTTATCTGTGTTAGTGAGAACACTGATTCCCTTGTCAGGCACTTACTTATCTGTGTTAGTGAGAATGCAGATTCCTTTGTCAGGCACTTACTTATCTGTGTTAGTGAGAACGCAGATTCCTTTGTCATACACTTACTTATCTGTGTTAGTGAGAACATTGATTCCTTTGTCAGGCACTTACTTATCTGTTTTAGTGAGAACATTGATTCCCTTGTCAGGCATTTACATATCTGTGTTAGTGAGAACACTGATTCCCTTGTCAGGCACTTACTTATCTGTGTTAGTGAGAACATTGATTCCCTTGTCAGGCACTTACTTATCTGTGTTAGTGAGGACATTGATTCCCTTGTCAGGCACTTACTTATCTGTGTTAGTGAGAACCCTGATTTCTTTGTCAGGCACTTACTTATCTGTGTTAGTGAGGACATTGATTCCTTTGTCAGGCACTTACTTATCTGTGTTAGTGAGAACACTGATTCCCTTGTCAGGCACTTACTTATCTGTGTTAGTGAGAATGCAGATTCCTTTGTCAGGCACTTACTTATCTGTGTTAGTGAGGACGCAGATTCCTTTGTCATACACTTACTTATCTGTGTTAGTGAGAACATTGATTCCTTTGTCAGGCACTTACTTATCTGTTTTAGTGAGAACATTGATTCCCTTGTCAGGCATTTACATATCTGTGTTAGTGAGAACACTGATTCCCTTGTCAGGCACTTACTTATCTGTGTTAGTGAGAACATTGATTCCCTTGTCAGGCACTTACTTATCTGTGTTAGTGAGAACACTGATTCCCTTGTCAGGCACTTACTTATCTGTGTTAGTGAGGACATTGATTCCCTTGTCAGGCACTTACTTATCTGTGTTAGTGAGAACACTGATTCCCTTGTCATACACTTACTTATCTGTGTTAGTGAGAACACTGATTCCCTTGTCAGGCACTTACTTATCTGTGTTAGTGAGAACGCAGATTCCTTTGTCAGGCACTTACTTATCTGTGTTAGTGAGAACGCAGATTCCTTTGTCATACACTTACTTATCTGTGTTAGTGAGAACATTGATTCCCTTGTCAGGCACTTACTTATCTGTTTTAGTGAGAACATTGATTCCCTTGTCAGGCATTTACTTATCTGTGTTAGTGAGAACACTGATTCCCTTGTCAGGCACTTACTTATCTGTGTTAGTGAGAACATTGATTCCCTTGTCAGGCACTTACTTATCTGTGTTAGTGAGAACACTGATTCCCTTGTCAGGCACTTACTTATCTGTGTTAGTGAGGACATTGATTCCCTTGTCAGGCACTTACTTATCTGTGTTAGTGAGGAGATTGATTCCTTTGTCAGGCACTTACTTTTTTGTGTTAGTGAGAACACTGATTCCTTTGTCAGGCACTGATTCCCTTGTCAGGCACTTACTTATCTGTGTTATTGAGGACATTGATTAGGCACTTACTTATCTGTGTTAGTGAGAACATTGATTCCCTTGTCAGGCACTTACTTATCTGTGTTAGTGAGAACACTGATTCCCTTGTCAGGCACTTACTTATCTGTGTTAGTGAGAACATTGATTCCCTTGTCAGGCACTTACTTATCTGTGTTAGTGAGAACACTGATTCCTTTGTCAGGCACTTACTTATCTGTGTTAGTGAGAACATTGATTCCTTTGTCAGGCACTTACTTATCTGTGTTAGTGAGAACATTAATTCCTTTGTCAGGCACTTACTTATCCGTGTTGGTGAGAACACTAGTTCCTTTGTCAGGCACTTACTTATCTGTGTTAGTGAGAACACTAGTTCCTTTGTCAGGCACTTACTTATCTGTGTTAGTGAGAACACTGATTCCCTTGTCATACACTTACTTATCTGTGTTAGTGAGAACATTGATTCCCTTGTCAGGCACTTACTTATCTGTGTTAGTGAGAACGCAGATTCCTTTGTCAGGCACTTACTTATCTGTGTTAGTGAGAACATTGATTCCCTTGTCAGGCACTTACTTATCTGTTTTAGTGAGAACATTGATTCCCTTGTCAGGCATTTACTTATCTGTGTTAGTGAGAACACTGATTTCCTTGTCAGGCACTTACTTATCTGTGTTAGTGAGAACATTGATTCCCTTGTCAGGCACTTACTTATCTGTGTTAGTGAGAACACTGATTCCCTTGTCAGGCACTTACTTATCTGTGTTAGTGAGAACCCTGATTTCTTTGTCAGGCACTTACTTATCTGTGTTAGTGAGGACATTGATTCCTTTGTCAGGCACTTACTTATCTGTGTTAGTGAGAACACTGATTCCCTTGTCAGGCACTTACTTATCTGTGTTAGTGAGAACACTGATTCCCTTGTCAGGCACTTACTTATCTGTGTTAGTGAAAACGCAGATTCCTTTATCAGGCACTTACTTATCTGTGTTAGTGAGAACATTGATTCTCTTGTCAGGCACTTACTTATCTGTGTTAGTGAGAACACTGATTCCCTTGTCAGGCACTTACTTATCTGTGTTAGTGAGAACGCAGATTCCTTTATCAGGCACTTACTTATCTGTGTTAGTGAGAACATTGATTCCTTTGTCAGGCACTTACTTATCTTTGTTAGTGAGGACATTGATTTCCTTGTCAGGCACTTACTTATCTGTGTTAGTGAGAACACTGATTCCTTCGTCAGGCACTTACTTATCTGTGTTAGTGAGAACACTGATTCCTTCGTCAGGCACTTACTTATCTGTGTTAGTGAAAACACTGATTCCTTTGTCATGCACTTACTTATCTGTGTTAGTGAAAACACTGAATTCTTTGTCAGGCACTTACTTATCTGTGTTAGTGAGAACACTGATTCCCTCCCTTGTCATGCACTTACTTATCTGTGTTAGTGAGAACATTGATTCCCTTGTCATGCACTTTGATAATCTTCAGTGGCTTCTTGTCAGCACTTTGATTGACATCCATGACTGAAATGAACAAGAAAATGTAGCCTGAACATAAATTACATAAGTCTAAACATTCACTGGCAAATTATCAATGCATAACTGGGAGAGCCATGACAGTCTAGCAGCTAGATGCTAGTCTGCCAGCCTGAAGGTCTTGGGTTCAGATCTACAGATATTTTTTTTTCTTCAGAACTGATCATGGCTCAGCCTAGCCTAAAATGGGTACCAGGAAGTGAAAAGTGATTATGAGGACCCCCACCCTTCCCTGCAGGGTTGTGAATTTACCAGTTCTTGTTCCAGATTGAACTATGCTTGCACATTTTAATAAATCTGGCTTATTTGTATGCAGATACTATAAGGTTACTGGTGAAATGAAATTGCACAGACGCATATATTCTCTGTTTTATAGTATAGATATAAATGAAGGGGAAAGGGGAAATGACAGAGAGAAGGAGGGATGGTGTACATTTTCTTCAAATAAAAAAATCAGTTTACCTACTGCATCCTGGTACAATACTTATTTAAAGTTAAGCTGATATTTAGGGGCAATGGTTGTGCTGGTGGTGGCTAGCATGCTGTCCCGGTGGACATAGGTTTAAATCTGCAGAAGGGCAGAAATTTTTTGTTAAAATTTGATTTTTGTTCCAAGGTTGACTTTATATAAAATTGTACCATGAAATGCACCGGGGAGTAAAGGTGCTAGCTTAATGTTTACCACCTTCTTCGTCTTTTTCTCTTCCACCATTTACCTGTGAGGTGTTGGAGGGAAATGTAAGGATCGATAGTGTGCGCTTTTTCCAATGCATTGTACAAGATGGTTTTCATTTCTGTTAGGCTGCTCCTGATGATGTCGCTCCATATCTTGTATGATCTTCCCCTTGCTCTGTGTTCATTATATTTCTTCATCATGGCTCTCTGTGGTAGTTGGTACCAAGGCATTCTCGTCAGGTGGTCAAACCATCTCATCTGTTGTTTTTTTAATGAATTGTATGGCTGCTTTCAGTCCTAGTCTTCTTCTAATTTCTTCACTCCTGATTTTATCTATTCTTGTTACACCCGCAGCTCTTCTAAGACGTTTCATCTCTGTTGTTATGATCTTCTGCTCATTAGTTGTAGTAAGGATCCATATTTGGCACTGGTAGCACAATGTCGGCCGAAAACTGCTCTTATATGATTTGCTTTGGTTGACAGAGGTATCTTTCTATGTATCAGACGTAACCACAAACGTCTTCATAAAATAATATTTAAAAAAAACAAACTTTTCATAAGTTTTTATTTCAGATGCACGATATAATTAATGCATTAAGAGCAAACATATAATTTATCATATACTTAAATAGACTCACAAAATTAACTTATCTTTACGACACTGATCTATGAATTTTGTATCATAACTAATAAAAGCGCAAGGTGCCTGACTGTATATAATACTCAACTTGAAAGGTCAACATAATAAGCCATTATCTGTATAAATTTCACTCATTTGTTATGTATACATATACCATGTAATTATATTATTATCAAGATGTCCCATGCTTTTATTAGCCGTGATATAAAATTGTAGATATAGGTTACAAAGATAATTATTTAAACTCATGTGTTCATTAAACTATATAATTATTTTTATGATGTGACTTAAAAAACAGTTTTTGTAATAAAAATATTTTTTATATTTTACTAGCTGTACCCGGCAATGCGTTGCTGTGGCATAGTTTGGCTAAATGGAAAAGAAAAAAATAGAAATCGCACGTGTCTAATATGGTTAATGTCGCAATCATTGTCTGCGCAGATATAGAGATAGTCTTTTATGCCCCCCCCCCTCAAACCCTTGCCCCCCCCCACCCCTCCTGCTCCCCCAAAAATCCACCTACTCCCTCATCGAAGGTTCTTGGAAAAGAAAGAAAATAGAAATCGCACATGACTAATATAGCTAATGTCGCAATCATTGTCTGCACGGATATAGAGATAGTCTGGGTTGCTGACTTTAGAACATGCAACATATAACTGTTTCTTTATATTAGTGGTCCTTTAAATGGTATTATTAGGACTGTTAAAAAAATATTATTTGGTTATCACATGCTAAAGCTGTTTGTATTTTTTTTTAGAGATGGAAGTAAAGCTTACTACTGTACTTGTGAATAACCAAGTAAGTGGTTAAAAAAAATTAGAATAGCGGAGGTAGCGTTAGTAAAATATAAACAAATTAGGAAATGAAAACTTTAAAATCATGTGTTAAGCTCTCTAAGTTAAGAATTTCTGTCATCACCCCCTCCCCTCCCCCATCCACCGACTACTGCTCTCTCACTCGTTGAAGGATTTGAAAGTCATCACCTAACGATATTTTTTGTAACTGACCTTAACATCCCTGTCCATCTGGACTAAAATGGGGAGCAGGAATTGTAATGAGTAGTAAATGCGGCCAGTGTAATATTTACCACACCATCTTTCAAGTACCAGCACAACTACTACCCCTACCACCACCACAATAACTGAAATAATGTCACTACTATCTATTTTACCATCAGGTAGACAGGGAGTCGTGAGCCAGAGGATTTGGCGCCGCATGGCTAGTGCTGTCGCAACGGACTGGTCAGGTTAAGATTTGTAATTTAGCCCCCTGACAGAAAAAGGCCATATCCTTACCGGCAGTCTCTGGCATGACAGCACTATGGTGAAATCGCCCAAAAACAACTATTACTACTGCTGCTACTCTGAGTGGGTAAGGCAGTTACTGTGTCTTAAAGCTCTCTCAATTAACAGTTTATGTTACCCCCCCCCCCTCCCGCCCCCCCTTCCATTCCCCAATTCACTGAATACTCTTTCCCTCATCGAAGTAGTTGGGAGAAAAAAAAACAAGTGAAAAGCAACGAAAACAGGAAAAATACACCATAATTACGAAATGAACGCTATGGTAAACAATACAGCCTAATTCCAACGCAATGTCAGAGGAAATAATTAAATCAAAATGAAAATAAATGGAAATCTATGAAAATTCAGCATAACCATGTAATCGGAAAGTTTGAAATGAAATCATAAGTATGTGAAATGGTCAAATTTAATTATCAACTGGTTTAACCACATACCTGCATTTTTTTTTTTTTAGTATTTAGGGCTGCCTATTGCTGTTGGCACGACTGTGCAAGTGAGGATTTTATTTTGCCCCTAAGTAAAAAAAAAAAAAGCCATACTGGGGATTTGAACACTGGTCTCCCACACAGGAGCCCAACATTCTAACCGTACGGACAACCAACCGCTCTTCCGTAAAGTGCAAAGAAAAGACAAACAAACTATTTGAAATGTGTGTCTAACACAAAACGGCAGGCAATTGTTTTCTTATAGACAGATATCCCAGAAATGACTTCACGTATTAATGAAACGGCACAACAATAGAAATGGCAAGTGTCTAACACGGTTAATGTCACAATCATTGGGTGGGTAAGAGGTGCCATAACCACTCTTCCCTGCTGCCTTGCAGGGTAAGTCTCTTTAGACAAATGCTATCGGAGTCAAACCATATACAAACCGACGGAAGGCAAGGAAAAACCACCGCTGTATTATCCCTATTAAATCATGCCTCAAAATATTACGAATTAAGATAACAACGTGAATGGGTATGAACTGATACATGCTGCAGGAGATCGCAGATTGTGGAGAGGCATGATCACCCACGCCAGTCGGCAAGGCATCTGATGATGATGATGACTGAGGTCCCAGATGACTACACTGTAACCTGAAGTCTAGATGATAGGTAGGTAGGTATTCTCCCCCCACCCCTTTTTCAGGATTTCATTCTGCAGGATTAACATCTCAAGGATTAGATTCCTATATGTACAAATCTGTTCAACTGCTGCATAGCAGTTTTACTGGAGCCAATAAAATAATGTTACTGCAGAAATACAAATGCACTGTGTGTTTTTTTATTGTTAATGCATTTACAGAATGCTGCTGTTTATTTGAGTTTGGTGTCTTGTGCAAAAACATACAAAATATACAAATGATGATGACAACAATGATGACGATGATGAAGATGATGATGATGATGATGATGATGATGGGCACTGATGTTAATATTAGTCTGGATAAATTTGAAACTAAGGCTTATTTTTAAAAAAATTATAATAATAAAGGGCCTTTTTAACACCAGGACACATTGGTTGTATGCCAAACTCTTATTTCTGTAACAGACCAATTGGCAATCAGTGGGTGATGCGGTCAACATTAAACTGACCCCTTTACTTTACATGACATTATCTGTTGCTTGTTTCAGGTTGAATTGACCTGGGAACCAAGGTCAGTTTGGAAAAAATCATGTATGGGTTCTGAGCCCCATTATGGAAGGAGGGAGGGGTAACAGACTCACTACCTTCTAACAAGCATGTTGTGGGAATAAACTCATTAACCATATTTTCTTCGAAGTTGGATTGCATCTACCTGATAGTTGAGGAAACGACCATCTGCAATATAAATGAGCCAGATTTGTAAAACTAATATGTACAAAAAACTCAGATTCTGAATCAAGACTAGATATCAGAAGAGGATGAACAATCAGAACTTTGTGGTGAGTGCAAAGAAGAAGACTGATGATCTGAAATAACCAATGGAATTAAAGAGAATAATTTAAGTTCAAACAGAAGAATTTAAATTTTTAACAAATCTTAACAACAACAAAACGAAACATTTGATAAACTGCAAAAATCAAATATGCTTTACTTGGAAGACCAGTCCAGACATCAATTTCTGGTTTAACATACACTAGGAGAGAAAATTTATTTTGAATTTAACTTGTTTATGAAAAGAAGAACATAATAAATTATACAATATTAGCGATAAGGTAGCAACAGGGCAGGATGAGACCCTAAACTATATAAAGCCCTGAGGCCCCGTATATTTTAAATTACACCAGCCAATCTTAGAAAACTAAAATATATGTGCCTTTTAAATGTATGGATAATGGAAATATTCATATGTTGTCATTTAATAATAAACAATGTCTTTGCAAAATCAAAGAAATTATAGTAAACACTCTTCTAAAAAGCTGTCAGTTACAACTTAAAACATTTTTGCTCTTGATTTCCCAAGGGCCCAATCACTGATTATTTCATCAAAAGATATTCCGTTTAACATGTCACTTTCTATACACATGATGTTCATTCAGTACAGATAATTTTTCTTAAAACACAGTTGCTCTTGGTTCCCATTTTCAGCCCATGCAGATTGTCCGGCTTCAAGCTGCAGCCTAAATCCAGCCCTGAGGCGCACAGAACTAAACAAACGACTTTCACAAAGCAAAAGTGTACGGTAGAAATTGTCATTTTTCAGTTTTTGGCACGAGGTTTTTTTCTAAAGTCCTAACTCACCACTTGGAATATTATCACAAAAGATATGTGTTGGTATGTTTTCAATAAAACATCCCCCTTTAGTAACAGTCAGATACCTTAATAATTGTTTAAACGTTAATAAATTTTTTATCGACAAATGTAAACAGGAGCTACTATTTGGCATAAAATCCTTTAATAATGAGTAGATTCATGATTAGGAACCACAGCGGGTAGCGGCCAGATGCTCACCTGTAGATCTGACAGACATGGGTTCAAATCCACATGGAGCCAGTTTTTTCAAACATGACCTTGGTTTTTAGGTTGACCCTGCCATAATTAAATGAGTACCAGGTAAAGTCCTGGGAAGTCAAGACAGCCAGTGTGATGTTGATGATATCACTCAGTGAGATCCGATAGGTCTATAAAATATGTCTAGCCTCATACACTTGATGAACCACTGGCATGTAAAGGCACCTTGACCTCTACCTTTTCTACCTTGAACTTTGACATACATGATTAAATGACAGATATATTTGTGAACCTCAAACATTCTTTAGCCTTGCTGCTGACATGACATTTTTCAGTGTGCAAAGGAATGTGGATTGTTGACTTTTAGTAGCAGTAATTAATTCTTTTAATCTGTTGGTTTCTGATATCTCCATTACACTTTTTAATTTGTGGAAAGTGCCTTCAGCATTGAGAAGTTCAAAATAAGTCCTGCAAAGACTGTTAATGTTTCAGGCATGTTTTCTTATTAAATGGATTTCCGTCAGGTGTATATCTTCCAAAAACAGTGCTATGGCTGGAGCTGACGTTCCAAATCATGGGATTTGCAAGAGGATTTGCATTTGTGGATGGGTGGCCCGTGCGCAAGTCAGACTCACTATGTCGACACAAAGAGAACTAGCTTTGAGTAACTAGTGGGGTATATTAAACAAGACATGCACTACAACATAACTGGGGGCAGCCAGGGTCTTCTACATCAAAATTTTTTCTCATAAGACTGATGCATCATTAATAATAACACAGTCTGATGTATATTTTAACCTTTTTAAAATTCAGTAGGCTGGATTCAATGACATTTAAAGTGATTTGTCATGGAGTAGGATACACATTTGCTTAGCAACAGATAGTTGTGATTTGTGAATCGCCAAGAGATTTTTGGTCACTGCACCTTGAAGGACCATCCCTCAGATATCCTGCCAATGGGATTAAATTCAGATGGTCTTTTATCCATAGTCCACAACATGGCATATAACAGAATCATGTCTGTTTTTTATCTATGGTCCACAACAGAATCATGTCTGTTTTTTTATCTATGGTCCACAACAGAATCATGTCTGTTTTTTATCTATGGTCCACAACAGAATCATGTCTGTTTTTTATCTATGGTCCACAACAGAATCATGTCTGTTTTTTATCTATGGTCCACAACAGAATCATGTCTGTTTTTTATCTATGGTCCACAACAGAATCATGTCTGTTTTTTTATCTATGGTCCACAACAGAATCATGTCTGTTTTTTATCTATGGTCCACAACAGAATCATGTCTGTTTTTTATCTATGGTCCACAACAGAATCATGTCTGTTTTTTATCTATGGTCCACAACAGAATCATGTCTGTTTTTTTATCTATGGTCCACAACAGAATCATGTCTGTTTTTTTATCTATGGTCCACAACAGAATCATGTCTGTTTTTTATCTATGGTCCACAACAGAATCATGTCTGTTTTTTATCTATGGTCCACAACAGAATCATGTCTGTTTTTTATCTATGGTCCACAACAGAATCATGTCTGTTTTTTTATCTATGGTCCACAACAGAATCATGTCTGTTTTTTTATCTATGGTCCACAACAGAATCATGTCTGTTTTTTTTTATCTATGGTCCACAACAGAATCATGTCTGTTTTTTATCTATGGTCCACAACAGAATCATGTCTGTTTTTTATCTATGGTCCACAACAGAATCATGTCTGTTTTTTATCTATGGTCCACAACAGAATCATGTCTGTTTTTTATCTATGGTCCACAACAGAATCATGTCTGTTTTTTATCTATGGTCCACAACAGAATCATGTCTGTTTTTCCATAAAATCAGCAAAGAGCCAGCTCATGACAATAATGAAGTGCAGGCATCCCTGTTTTTGCATCAAAAAATTCTTACCCCCCCCCCCCCTCCCCCCTCACCTTATGCCTATGATTAAAATTAGCATGTTACATGTGTCCCTATAGTTTACTGTACAGTACATTCAAACTCACTTTTAGATAAAGGTCTGTTGTTATCCCAGACTACCAGGTTGCCAAGTGATGTTGCTGTAAGGGCTCTGGCTATGCCTATCTGGAACAATGATTGGCTGTATCGTCCAACAGGCTTGTTGAAATCCTTGTCCGAAAGTGGAGGTGCATAGTATTGTATATAACTTTCTTCCTGCAAGAAAGGCATCAAGAAGCTATGTGTGAGGACTTTTTAAAAACATTTTTTTTTTTACAATTTACGTATTCATTCTGATGAGAAGCCATGCTAAATGTGACCTTCATGTGTAAACAAACTTGACTTCTGCATTACATGTCTTACAATACAACAAAAGCCTTTAAAAAAATTGTGTAATTATGCATACCAGTAAATATGCACAACCTTTAACATTGTTAGTTTTATAAACAAGTAAGCTTTTGAAATATGTGGAATAGTACTTACCCAATGAAAGAAAAGAACCTGTGATTCACTGTTGGTGACAAGATGATGTATATCAGTTGGGTCAAAATATATAAAGCTCTGAACTCCATACTCTGGCTTCAAGTCAGCTGAGCAGATTGGAACATCACCATCAACCGTCCAGTTCCATATGGCCAGAGTCTAAACAAAAGTTATGTTTCCATTTTATGATAGTTTAACATCTTTTTTTTTTTTTTGAACAAGATTAAATTAATAGGTAAATTACAAATATATATTTTTTTAAACAGGAAATATAAGACATGTAGTAGTAATTGCATGCATATTTCTCTGTTTAAATATAGATATCTCACCACTGTATGAATGCTTCATAGCTGCAACTTAGAAATATGTGCCCTGTTGGCTCAGCCACATAAAGAACTCACAATACTGAATTCACACTCACCACCTAAATTTTCCCATCACATGTTTATCATTCATATTCTGGCATTTCTTCTGAAAAAGGCCTGCAGTATGTGTGTGTGTGTGTGTGGGTGGGTGCATGAGAGTGTGTGCATGCATGTGTGTGTGTGTGTGTGTTAGGAGAGTGAGACAGAGAGAGAGAGTTTATCTTGTACCTGATTTTGTGAGTGGGACAAGATGAAAGAGCGGAACAAGATGGATATGTCATCAGTGAAGTCTCAATGGACATTGCAAGTTGCTCTGTTGGGATCCTTGAGTGTAATTTCTGGGGGTAGATATTGTGATGCTGCTGTTACAACCAGGTTACAATAACTGGCTACCTCAAAATGGAACATCACCATCTGTTGACAAGACTTGTTTGATTCATTGTACATTAAAAAAAAAAAGAAATATCAACTGAAATACCTGCAGAGGTAAAGCACTGAGTGTTGCCAAGAATCTGGAATCTGGGGTCAAGGCTACGGCAATGACACCTCCTTTTGGGTTTGGATCAAACATGGTTTGGATAGGTGTCCTAGAAGTGTTAGCAATCAATAAATAATTTAGCTACCAAGAAATGTGAATCTGTTTAGTGTGCTTTGCCATTCAAGAGTCACAATCAAATGTTTTCCTGCTATACACCCCACAGAAGGTGTGTATCATCATGCTAAAAAGGTCAATGCTGACCCCTTTCTCCTGTGTTGAATACTTTTTAATCGTTGACTTGGTGCTGGCATTTTTTTTACACCTCAAAATATAAACCTGGTAAAAGTGGGTGGTTGGCCTGTGTGCAAGTCAAACTCACTATGTCTACACAAAGAAAACTTGCCTATACAGAAAGAAAACAGTACACACTGAAAAAGTAAATATAAAACAGTACATAAGCAAATACATAGTTCTGAATTTTGTTAATGCTTTTTGTGGGTGGAATATTTCAAAGTAAAGTGTGTCACATCACAGTCCTTGCACGTGTATCTGGTTTCCTGTCACTTTTTTAGCATACCATAAACTTTCTTGCTAGACCTTTCTTTTGTGATGCTTTGAACTCTACTGTTGATGGGAATTAACTCTGCACCAACCATTATGGAGATTTTACTGTCATATTTTCCTTAATAATATTAAACGAAATTCATTGAGTAAATGACTGCATCAAACTTTAGTCATATAGAACCTAGAGTTATCATCCAGAACTTTCAGATGAGGAGAAAACTATTGCTTCAGCACACTGCATTATGATCAAGCATTTGGTTTCACTGAGAATGTCACGGGAACCCAGAAGATCCATTATAACAACATACTCTTTACATAAGATTCATATTTTTTGGTCAGACACAACAATCACCTGAGTCATCATACTCCAGACTCTCCTGACAAGGTACGTTGCAATCTTTTAGCTGTTTCACCAGCTGAAAATTGTGTTTAAAAGGACCTGATTTGAGTAACAAGAAGGCATTCTGTGGAGCATGATGGCCAAAGTGTACTCAATTCACAGAGGGCTTAATGAAATGCTACCAACAGTAAATCTCCATTGAGACTTAGGAGAATTGGCTGCAGTCCCAAAATGACTACTTTGAAGAGGAATAATGTTTTAGATCTCATGGTAAGAAACTGCATTTTTCTGGCTTCAGATATTTTCTTTAAAAACTGTGTGCTGGTTTAAAGTTATGCAAAATTACTGTGTATGAAATTCTTGTTTACTGTCTGATGTTGGCAACAGTAACTTCAAATAAAACATCAAGGAGTTTTAAGCAAACAGACAAAATTTGTGAACAGTTAAAAGTTACCCTGTATAAGTATCCCAAATGTTAACCATTGCGTCAGGGCCAACATCTCCAGTGACAAGCCATCTTTTATCTTGTGACACAGCTGAGCATCTAATTGGATTCAGCTGTGGAAATGGTTACAGTCACCATGTTGCAATTTACATGATGACAGACATGACCAATTGTATTCTGTGTATTCAGTTAACATAAGATGACTGCTTCATTAGCAGTTGAAACTAGTACTTCTAACACATTCAGATATCAAGGAGCAGCAAAGGGTCAAACTTCACTAGGCCAATTGTACATGTATTTGTGACCCAATAAAATATAATTAAAATACTGAACAATTAACATGCTCTTAATATTATTTTGAAGTTTTCTGTGAGATGGGAGAGCTAGTCTTCTGCCAGCCCTCCTTAGCTGCCTTCTACTATTTGCATGGCCAGTTAAAGTGATTTTGTTATTCTCTGCCCTCGTTAATTGCCCCAGAAACAGAGAAAGTCTACAAATGCTTTTGGATTTTTAAAATGTGTGACTGACACCTATATTCAAAATGATGAGGTATTCAGTCTGAACCCTACCAGACCTGAGGCCCTGAACCTAACTGTCCTTATAACCTGAGCTATAACGAGTGGCTAGAATATGATGAAACTTGGAGACATTGTAGAAAATAGGCTTACCTTTTATCTAGCGCCAATATTCCACCTTTGTATGCGAATTCACTCATCAGGATCAACTTTGTTTCACAAAGTGAACACCAGATGTTGCCGTTTGATGGACACACCCCCCTCCTCCTACTATCGATCTATTTCAAGATTTATAATTTTCAAGATTTTCCTCATCATTCGCGCTCTCACTGACAATGTAACTTCAAGAACATATTCTTTATGAAATTATCACAGATAATGAATATATATCACAGAGTCTGAATAAACCAAAGTATCGATCACCTGCTGAACTGTGAAAAGCCTAGAACTTGGTTCATCAGCCGCTCGTTTCAATGTGAATTTTCAGAATTTGTCCATGTAAAACAACAAAAATTTTATCCAAACACATGCGGGCAGACATTTGCAATGTCTAACAAAGAGGATTGATAACACTTGGGTGGTTATTTTTAGTCCATGACGCATTGTTCTCCCGTACTATGCAAAAAGCCTAAAATTAGGGTCAGCGGTATAGAGACAGTTTAAGAAATTCCCGGTAAACCGGGCCAGCGGTCTGGTAGGGTTAATACCCAAAAGATTGGGGGATGTGTGATATCATCAGGAACCAATCTTCTTTTTCGCATTTTCACATCTCTCTTGGGATTATGGCAGGCACCATAACCTCTTAGCCATGCCTGCTCCTTCCGGTGGCATCACAACTACCCAGCCAAATTAATCAAGTAAACAAATTTTTTCTTCAAATGCGACAGCACTTAATTCATTGCACTTGCTTTAACACTTATGACTTTGCTCACCATATGCCTGACAGTAATGTACACAAACCACAAACTCTGCAGTTCCTTTGATAAACCCCAGGGATAGCATGAAATATTGCACTACAGAATTAATTATGCAGTCTGCATTTGTAACCTGGAATTATACACCCTAAATTATCAGTCCAAAATCTGGCCATAAAATGTTACTCTATCAAAGAGCAGGACACTTTTTTCTAACTGTATGCTAAACCAAATCGGCATCTGTGGCTTAGGCGTTGCAAATGTGCTTCGTAATGTTGGGGTGCCGTGTTCGATCCCTGCTGTGGACGATTTGACTTGCGATGGTTTCGACCGTGGTACCGAGAGCCAGCTGTCCAGAAAGCAATGGCAAACTACTGAACGTAAAATTGCCTAGAAAACCACAACAGCCAGAAAGTGCTGGCATTGGTTCTGCAGTGTGCTTCAAAGGATACGCAACTAATTAATAATAAGGCTATACCATTATTTCTTTTTTTTTAAGGCACTACCGTAATAGACATTTTATTTTATGTACTGGCACCTTTTAATGGATACCTTGTGGGGAGAAATTCTGTCAAAAAGTAGCAAGAAAATGTTGAAACTAGAGAATTTCAAAAACAAAGAAACCGACAGACAGAAAATAGTAGTATTTTAGGTCATCCTATTATACCAATGTCTTTTAATAGAAATGTAGACTTTAAAAAATATTAAACAGATATATTGCAAAGGCTTTTTTGCTTAATCATTATATAGTAAGATTGCTCTTGCATTTTTTATTCAGATTATTTCATTTATATTTATGACTGAAAAATTCTGTGGTATTTACTTGACAAAGGGAGTCACTGTGGCGGAGCGGCTAGACGCTTGCCGCAAATCGGAAGGTCATGGGTCCGCTCAGTGGCGAAGCCGGACTTTTTTCAAAAATGACCTTGGCTTCCAGGTCGATCCAGCCTTGAGTGGGTACCGGGTGCAGTTCCGGTAAGTAAAGGCGGCCGGCGTGATGCTGACCACAGCACCCATCTTGTGCCGATTGGTCTATAAAATATAGGTCTAGCCCTATATGCCCTATACGCCTAAAGGCATGGAAAAGAGTATTTTACTTTACTTTTTTAAAATATTTTTTAAAATTTACTTGACAATCTTAAAAACAGACTGAGCTAAAGGAAGACCAAGGTTAAGACTGATAAAAATTAAGAAATATAGAACACAGATTCAATGTAGTCCAGACTAGGGCACCAAAACATTCAGATCAAGTTCACAAACTTGAACTTTTCATACATTTAGTGCCAAATGTATTTGGTTTCTTATTTTAGATGGCGACACACAAACAGATAGACAGACAGGCAAGAATGCTGATGTCAGAATTGTCATGCTGATGGTATACCAGACAGATAAACATTTAGACAGATAACTGATGTTAGTATCCTGTTAAATTTCAATTAACCCTTGTTGATAGGACACTGGCTTGCAGACAAATAAGTTAATATTATTCTGATCTCAGCTGATAATTTTGTAGGCAGGACTCGAAACAGACATACAGACATTCTAGCTGGCAGACAGAAAAGCATGAGGTTAATGTTAGAACTCTATAAATTTGAATTACAAGCAGAGTTTGAGTGGAATTCACAAAATTGAAGATATTAAAACACACCAAACATCAGAAAAAGAAAAAAAAAACGATGGTCACTAATGACAACTACACTACCCCCCTACCCCGCAACTTCCTCACAGTTCCTTTCACACAGCGATATAGGCAGGCATCAACCACCCACTGCACAAAGCTATACATGACACAAAAGGAATACATCTCAAAAGAGGCCGCTCTTGGATGGCAAAGCCTGAGGATTTAATCCAGAAGGTATGTGACCAAGATGTGATCAGTCACGGAAAAGAATGGAAAAAATACAACAGTAGACATGCATGGCATCTCTAAGGTTGTCATCACATTTGGAAGGTACTGCAGGGATCAAATTCCTGCAGCCCTAGACATAGCCACACAGGCAGTTTTGTATCAGACACCATGAATATGCTTCAGAAAATAGCAACAGGCAGTATGTGCTTTGAATGGTTAAAAAGTATTAGAAAATCGCACTTAACCTCTGTAACCTGGATCTATACACAGGGTCATGCGGGCGTAAAGGGAAATGAGCGAGCGGACCAACTGGCAAGCACTGCACTAAGGATTGCAGGAAAAAGCATGGACAGAGCAGATATCGTCAAAGCTGTACGGACTGAGCTAATGGATAATGAGGAATCCCTGATGCTAACACGATTGCATGACATGAGAGCAAATCATGGGGAAGTACATCTTTGCTGTCTTCGAGGCCGAGATAGGAGACAATATAACCAGCTTTTCATGGGAACAATTAGTAGAAGTACTTTGAAGGGGCTGCTGCATCGGAGGACTGAGCACGCATGGGAATGCCCAAAATGCAGTGACGTCGATTGTGATAATATAACATAACATATCACACAGCGGGAGCATTAATAAGTGATTTGAGTTAAGAACATATGGTCTCCATGGTGATGTGGTTAAGTAATTTATCTCGCACTTCTTTGATATGTGAGTGCAAGTGTTTCCGAGATTTCTTCAGATCATTGCTGGAGCACTGAATTTTGTGCTTTTGTGATGCTGCTGACAAGAGAAAATGCTCTGTGGGGACAGACGGAGCCATGTGGAGTACCCTAGTGCAACAAACTGAATTTCCTAAACTGAAATGCACTTTTTCAACTAACAGCATATTCTGACTGCTAAAATGCTAATGAATAATGCTTTTACCAAAGCTGAGGTTGACATCTGCCCTTCTATGCTGGTGTACGATCTACTGTCTGGTGATGGCAGGTGAGAAAAATGTGGTGATGCATCATTGGAGGCCTGCATCAAAGAGTTTCAGTTTCAGTACACATATTTATTCTGTTTTAGTGTATAAATAATGTGAGTCTTAGAGTATAAAGAGACAAACTTTATAAATATAAATAGTATGAGTCTCTGAGTACAAAAAGGATTAGGCTTAGACTACAAGGAATGTGAGTGTTTACAGACAACATGAGAAGATTCTTGACAACCTGCAGTCATGGATGGAGGAGTGTCAGCAGACAAGCTGATGGGTGCTACTGAAGATCACAGATTGTGGGTAGGCATGATCGCTCAAGCCAGTCATTTGATGAGGATGATGATGATGTTGATGATGATGATGTTGATGATGATGTTGTTGATGATGATGTTGATGTTGATGATGATGATGTTGTTGTTGTTGATGATGATGATGGTGTTGATGATGATGATGATGTTGATGATGATGATGATGATTATGTTGTTGTTGTTGTTGATGATGATGATGATGATGTTGATGATGATGATGATGTTGTTGATGATGATGATGATGTTGATGATGATGATGATGTTGATGATGATGATGATGATGATGATGATGATGATGATGATGATGGAGATGAGGACGACGACGACGATGATGATGAGAATGACGGCGATGATGATGATGATGTTTCAGTAAAATATTATAAGTTTCAGAGTATAAGCAATACAAATCTCAGAGAACAAATAGTACGAGTCTATGAGTATAGATAGATTTAATCTGAAGAGTACAAATAGTATGAGACTGAACCGACATGCCACAAATTAAACTCATTAATTACCATAAACAGTTGACAATCTAATTTATGTTG